ATTTTAAGAGTGGTTTTACGAGTCGGCGCCTATAAACCGGTTTATATGTTTCAAACAATCATTTTAAATTAAAACATTCAACAATCTTTCATTTAAATGAACCGGTCTGCCAGTAGAAAAGTTTAGCCTACTCTATCACAGTTATTTTCTATTTCTCCTGCGAAGACAAAATGATCATTGAGTTATTTGATTAAGACTTATATTTATCAAAACTCACACAATTCACAGCCATGAAAATTTTTCTAAAGAACAAAGAACACAAAAGTGTCTAAGCGGCTTCTAAATCCTTGATTGTTACGTCAAATTTTGCACTAATGCTGATTGGCCAATATTACGACAGTAAATATGGAAGTCGATGAACGGGCGAACATCCATAATAATAATAAGAGGTTTATAAAGTTGTAGTGCATAAATACGCTTCACAGACACGATGCTTATATTTAAGGAAAATTTAAATTGTTTTGCGGCCCAGACTGGAGGGCCCTATATTTGCGGACCCCTGCTCTAAGGCACGTATATGTCAAGACCTGTTAATATTTGTATTTTATGATGTGTGTTTCACAGCTAAAATGATTTGCTTTGGACAAACAAGAGAGCAACGCTCAAATATATGGACACGTGGACTAGAGCGAAGCAGGGTTTACCTTTGACGTTACCGGTACCTTAACCTCAAAAAATTCCGGGTTTCCAGTCGCAAGAATTTTCACAGTCAGCCGTCACGCTTGGCGGATTAAAAACCGTGTTCCCATAATTAAAAATTAATACAGCGCAATTTTGAAAGAAATATTAGATCTCATAAGATTCATAGAAAATTCAGGAATAAATGAAAGTAATAGCTTTCGGGCAAAAAAATCAATCTTGAACCACTGAAAATTCCAAAGCAATTGGTCCAGTATTCGAAGAGAAAAGCGATTTTTTAATGATAATGACGAAAGAAAATAACAATAACAACAAAATTTTGAAACGATCGTTATGGCCACTAAACGTGTCCAAAAATAATCCTTTTTACACAGACACGGAATGGTTTGGGAAGACTAAAAACAATTTACTACGTCTCTGGTGAGTTGGCGTATTGATGGAGTTTGGGATGCGATAGTTTTATCTCTCAAAAAACTTCGGTCAATTGGATTAAGGTTTATACTGTAAGACAATAAACCGCCCATGGACTATTAAGGTGTCTCTAGTCTAAATCATTATAATCGCAACCTGAACTATAACCTCGAAGCCTATTTCTTACCTTGTATGTCTAATCCCAGATTCTTCTTCCTTGACATTTATGGCTTCCAGATGTATGCAGAATCGTATGACACCCCTATTATTTTTCACATTGTTGGAAATACCTAATACTAATCACATTAACAGGCGTAACTAATTTCCGACTATCAAATAAGCCATTAGGTTATGGTGAGCTATTTTCGACGCACCCACTCGGAAAAATACATTATCTGGAAATCGAAAAATGAACGCTGCACAGTTGAAATTCAGATTACAAAGAGCTAATTAGCTCTAAAATCTATTCTAACGAACTGTGGCATATTTGAGAGCTCTGTGAACCTTTTAGCGACAGTATTCCTAATTAACAAATGAAATACAACTTGTTACTGAGACTCGTGGAAATGTAGGAATTAGGACAACTTTCTATACCGCAAGTCAAGTCGCTCATGCCGATGTCGAGTTATTTCGTTTTCCACTTTCATTCCCTTTGTTCTCCAGTTTTAATTATATGACACCTGCTCTAAGTCTAGCCGTCCAATGCGGCCCAACTTTGTATATCTATTTTTATTCATGTCATACGATCTTATGGATATATTCCTATGAATCATTACACAGGGAAAAATACCATGTTTATACTGGAACAATTCGTCACGAAAAGGAATCGCAAATAAAATTTTCACTATTGAAACAGAGAAATTTTTCTAAGACATAAACAAAACTTGTGAAGATTCAATAAAAGCAAGCTTTTCCATAAGTGAGATTATTGCGATAAGTGAGATCGTCGCGTTCTTTCGTCGAGGGATGCTTTATTTAAGAGTGTATGTTGAAGGCTTGTGAAATAATTTTAACAATGAGAGTTAACAAATCCGCCTTTCGCACACGACTAACGGACGAGAGTTTGTATGCTGTCTAAAGACCAGCAAACCAACGCAAATTAAGGCCAAACATCGAGTCTCTCTCCGCTACAAAACGGTGCCAAATAACCAACACAAGTAAACGATTATGTTTCATGTCTTGCTTGTTGTAAGATTCAAGGGCAATTCCAACAAATATAGTCAGATTTACTTTGTTAATTTTTGTATAACAATTTTGTATATAATTTGTTAGTTTGCGTCCCGCGTCGTCAATAAATTTCAGAAAGTGGCCCGCGACATATTTTGAGTTGGAGACCCCTGGTTTAGGCAGCAAAAATCGCCCAGCTTCACAAAACTGACAAATTCCTCAAAACCAACTGGAAACGTCACAGTGATTACAAGTAAAAAAGCTCTTGTACGAGACGACCAATCCAGCTTTTTAACTGTTGTAACGTCGCCCTCCAAGATCAGTCTTTCAAAATCGGTAACAGCGAAATGACTTGCAAAATGACCATTATGACAAGGTATTAAATCTCCGGTTCGCTTTATAAAATAGGCACGGTGGTATACACCTGGCCACACATAATTTATTTGCGAAAAAATTGTATTTGAACGAAGTACACTAGCATGCAAAAAGTACATATCACGAATGCTCCATATATTTTCATGTATTCCATAATTAGGTAGTGAGATACTTTGCAGACTCGAAGTGATAACATTATCCCAAACTATTTCTTTGCATGCCATATCTCAGAGCCTTTGATGTAGCAAGGCTGCCCAACCCGCGGCCCGCCGAACTGTTTTTTTGCGGCCCGCCCTATAAAGTTTGTAAGAAGACTATTTAAATTTTCACTATGTTATATATAAATATACAGGCTTAAGTATGTTTGGTGATTTTGGTGTGATTATTCCTGCCATCTATCCACATTCAAGTCTTGCACCCTGGTGGACATCGACGTCAGTTTTTTTTTATTTCTGGAATTTATTTTTGGATATTGTGCGATCATTGAATGAATTTGGAGCCTAAATTTGCAAATTAATTCATTCTGATTGCTTTTCTTTCGTGTCGACTTCGATGGCCAACGTGTCAAGAAAAGTCAACAATATCTTTGGTTGATCTTTGATCCCGGGACTCGTTGTCCTTTTATTTTTAATTTTATATTTATTTGTATTTTTGTTTATTTTATGTTGGTGTTAAATAGGATTTCGGGAAATGTCGTAACTGAGTATTCGTCAATAATTCTAATGAAATTGATAATTCTGATAATATTCGACTTGATATTCGAATAATTTGCCAGCTCTACCCTGTAACCAGAAAGCAATTATTAACTTGATTGATTTCATGTTAATGAACCTGCCCTTTATGTATTATGTAAATTACCGAAATTAGGAATTAGCTGGTATTAATGTTTGGTATAAACGTTTGCGGCCCGCAAGGAATTTCGTCATGTGAAAGTGGCCCGCGAGACCAAAAAGGTTGGGCAGGCCTGTACTACATGATAACATGTCCCGCTTCCTTATGTACAAACTGAATTTACCTTTGATTTGAATCGATAACTGAAACCAACTTCTCATCGCTCCTGACTGAGCAGACACAGTCTATGTATGACTCATAATTCTCGTCTGCAAGTTTGCACATTTTATCAGGGTGAAATATACTATAGCAGTGTCCCAAGTCCCAGATAAGTTCCGGTGAATTATTGGAATACAATACGATAGCGAAAAATTTTTCCTGCTAATCCTTTTATTCTGATCAAAAGATAACCGGGTTAGAAAAGTGAAAATCGTGATATATATTTGTAGCCAAACTTTAGCAAAAATAACTGCATGAAATATAGTTAGGCGTAGAAACTGTCGACAAAAACCACAGTATTTTGCTCGATGGATTATTAAAGAAAACAAATTAAAAACTATTTGGGCGACAGCAAAATGTTGCCCAAATATTTCTGTCGCCCAAATACAGCGAAAGTAACCCCGTGTTGTCGATCAAATCGATAAAATAAATGTATATATATATATATATATATATATATATATATATATATATATATATATCTAATACGGTAGTTATGTAGACACACCATGCTAAAATAGCGACAGTTATGTAGACGAAAAAATTGAGTCGACATTTTCCTGTCCACTTAATTATTACACCTTCCGTAACTAAATTTTTTGAGTTTTTTTTGCTGAAAGCTCTCTTTCTTTAAAAAAATAGTATTAAAAATATTGTGTTCCTCCAATATTTTTAATGTATCTGCATATTTCGCGAATTTTGAGCGGACGGTAGATCTGCTAGTTTATATTCGACGGGTATAATTTTCATACATTGAGTGGACATTTTGTTTATGCAAAAATCTTTTGATTTTCAGGTATATGTTTTTACGATTTTTTGAGTGTGGGTTTGATAATTTTGAGACGATAAACAAGCAAAATATGAAGGTCGTGCAGGCTGTATTTCGCATTTAAAGGGTGATAAACTGAAAAGGACCCTCATTTACAACTCCTTTTCAAAGCGGGCTTAGTGACGTAATAGGAAAACTATCGGAGACTAAACACGCTTGCAGGTTTTCTTTCGCACGTGGGGTGGATGCAAAGAGGGAATTAGTAACTTTATACGTGAATGAATGCAACCATTTAGCTTACAATAATCTGTTGTGTTGTTATAGAAGTGATTCGAGTCTTTTCTGCTACGTGTTATCAATTAGCCAGTGAGTTGACAGAAGGTCGAGTCATATCAAGCTTGCAATAATATTTTGGAAGTATCTTACACCGCAGAGATTCTGAACCTCATTATGAGGAAGGTTGCTGGTTATTGTCAGATTAGGTCACTATATTTAAGCTGTTGAGATTTTTCATTCAATCCAGATTAGCAAAATATAGACTGTTGATCCTGTTATGTTTTTACTGGTCACAATTCTGACCATCAAAATAATGCTTCGACTGCAAAGCAAGCGAGGGAGAAAACCCATCGATGTTGCAAAGGAAAGTTGTTTGAAAAATTTGTCCACATCCGATTTTTCTGTTAAACTGGTGGATTCTGAAATTGGTATGTAAATAGGAAAAATTGAGTTAACTGAAAAATATCAATTATGAGTCGTTGATGTCATTAATGCTGTGACGTTTCCCTCAAATAATAACATCTGCAAACCTATGTGGCATATGTAATAAATGTTTATGATATTTTTAGGAACAACTTTATATCGTGGTCACGATGATCTAGGGATTTCGTTTGTAATAATCATCATCTTTTCACGAGGGCTGTTAAATTCGAAAATTATCAAAAAGTTATAAAATATTAATGAGCAACAACATCTCAATGTAAAATCTTTTTTTATCGTATTATAGGCAAAGGTCTTTTCGCTGAAAAATCATTCTGTCAGGGCGACTTTTTGTTAGAGTATAAAGACAAAAGACTAGATGAAGATGACGGTCTAGCGACAGAGAGCATTTTCACTTATTTTTTTCAACACTCATCCAAAATATTCTGGTAAGAGCTCCTGTTTAATACAATCTGCTATCAAATTTTTAATAAATTGCCAATCATTTTTATGAGATTTGGGTAAACTTTGTTCTATTAGATTATTTTAATATTATATCATCTATGTATATCTTTCAACATTTAAACGGTTGTATTTGGAGGGCAATGGAAAAGTTATTAGTGCCTCATGAATATATATATACCTGTTTAGACTCCGTCTATGAAAATCCAAGTATAATTCACTAAATACGCTCTTTGTTAGTTATTCAAAACATGCATTCTGAGTTCTTACTGAATCACCCAAACTGAAATTCAGCATTATATTCACAAGATGGTGACTTGCTTAACCCGTGATTAATTTAGCATTGATGCCCAAGAAACTGACTGTATATGCAAATATGCAAATGATGATTGGAACAATCCGAACGCAACAATGAAGAAAATAGTAGTGGAAGATGTCCCTCACCTTTGCTTATTTGCTCGTCGAGACATCAACGTAGGAGACGAAATCCGATACGACTACAATTACCCAAACGCACCTTGGCGTAAAATAAAGTGGTCTATCGGCCAGAGTAAGTGAACTTTTTACGTTACGTAAAACCTGATTCAACGTTTAATGGGTTTGTTTTAAACAAAGATGCTGATCTATATAAAAAACTAGATTACAGTAGCCTAGTACAAACTACAGTGCAATCGTAAACAGAGAAGAGTGAAAACAACATATAATATATATACAGAAAGTTTTTATATTTATGCCCTTCCGAGCATTATTTGTAGAGTTTTTATTGCGCTTATAGATATTAGCAGCATTAGCTTTTAAAGAGAATTATGATTTCGCAGATTTGAGATGCAAATTATTTGGCATGTCTAATCAGGTTTTAGTTACGAAGCAAATCATTGTCATTTACAAGGTTCTGCAGAAGATGCAGAAAGTACAGAAGATATTAACAATGTCGGTGTCGGGGAAATAGATTTATTTTTGACTGAAGAATTTGGAGATTTGTTGGCACCGCCTAATACAGGTTTCTGTGCTAGTATATTAAGATGAAATTATAAGTATATAAGCATATAATTGTGAATTTTGTAAACAGAGAATAAGTGTCACTGAGGAAAAAAATCCTAGGTTCAACTGGTTCGAGTTTTAGTATTAATTTTTCAAAATGTACATAGTCATAGAACTGACAGTGAAAATATTTCATAAATTTGGCTTAGCAAATGAATATGTAATGTACAGAAAGATTTTCGAACAGTGCAAACAACAGTAACGCAGAATAAAGCTATAATATTCTTGAATGTAATATTTATATCTGGTGTTTTAGTAACTTGGTTAATCTTGTAACATTCACAGAAAACAGCGACACCGGAATAAACAATATTTTATATCAAAATCAATCAGGTTGGTAATAAAACTATTTCAAGATTTCGGATTTCATTTGCAAGAGTGTGTAATTTACCAGAATTCCTAAATGCAGATAACAATACAAACGAAGAATTTGAAAATGCAATCGATTTATTTTTTCCTCGAGAAGTAGGAGATATCACATCCGATGGGTTGATGCCACATAGTATAGGTTTGTAAAGTTCAGTAAAAATATATTTTTTCTTTGAAGTATATAATAGAACGGCTCTTATTACGATATTTTTTTATTCGGATTATTTGTGATCTGGGGCGTATCACCGTTTTATTTTATCATAATTATCCGGCTATTCTCTAGACCTGGAGTGAACAACATGGGGCACGCATGCCAACGTTGGCACGCCATACGCTCAAACGTGGCACGCGAACGGTTTTGTAAAAAAAATCATTTATGATATACAATAAAATATCACGTTTATATCTAAATTAGTAGTTTTTTAGGACATTAAATTGTTTCAATAAATAGATATTCGTTATTATGTTATAATATTGAAATTTGTTTGATGTGTGTTCTACGGGAGGTAATTCACAGTAATAACGATTGTGCGTGGCACGTATTTTGAAAAATGTGGCACGTGTCCTCATTTGAGTTGTGTACCCCTGCTCTAGGCTGTATATGTGTTCTCATTTAGGTGATTCTCCCGCGAGATGGCCGACCCTTCAAAACTTAGCAGACGGAAATGCTGAAAGTGACTCCGCGGTTGCTGTGACAGGAGGTAACTAAATGTGTTTTTATGCTTGTTTATTGTTATTAACTCAGTAGCAAATAAATATCGATACATGGTACTAAACCAAATTATGACAATATATGTCCCCAATATAGAATAGCGCTGGTATCTGCGCATACTTGTCTAGAATTTCTAAAACTGTGCTTCACTGTCATGGTAGCATTGAAACTTTTAGGCATAAAATTAAAAAAATGATTATACAGAACTTTGATGTACGTTTTAGTGATAATGGACCACCCCATTTACTTTATCCTGTTATTTTAATGGTGGGAATTAATTGAATCACATCAAATTTATTTGACTAGACCAAAACACAATGATGATATTTTGTGACTAATGCATGTATTTTTATTAAAATTCTAGATGAGTCTACAGACTATGTCCCAGCATCTTCAGAGTCACTTTCAATAAGCGATTTGAGTGATTCTAAAGAAAACCATACAAATAACAAAGACGATAACGGTTGTAAATCGAAGCCAAAAAAGCTTTTGAATAAAGAAATGCAATCCAAAAAGGAAACAAACAGAAAAAAGAGAATTCCACGGCCTTGCTTATTCTGCGGGAAATTTATTGTCAAACTTAAAAGACATTTGTCCACTATACATAAAGAGGAGCCGACAATATGCAAAATATTTTCGCTCCCCTTTGCAAAAAGGCAGCAAGAATTTGATATAATAAGAAAAAAGGGAATCTTCCAATATAACATGCAAATGTTAAAGGACCGTAAACCGTTAATAGCGGAAAGACACCAAGGCCGTGGCAGTATGAAAATTTGCACCAACTGTTCCGGCTTCTTCCAAAGAAAAACATTTCACAGACATCATCAGTTGTGTCGAAGCAAATTTGGTAGTCCTGCTTCTGCGACGGGTTTGTGCGTCGAATCCATGGTTTGTCATGGTGATGAAGCATTTGCTGACTTGCTCACACGATTTCAAAATGACGAAAAGGGAAATTTATGTAGACAGGATGAGTTAATAAAGACTGTCGGCCGAAGCCAATTTCAGAAACACCGAAAGAAAACTGAAAAGAAATCAGAATCGAGGAAGGCCGTAATGGCGAATATGAGATTGTTGGCATCCCTTTTTGTCGAATTCAAATCGTGTGCAACAAAACAAAATGTAAATGTATCGTCGGAGAATATGCTTCGACGCGAGTATTTCATGATTTTAGAAGAAGCCATACAAAATATTGCAACACACGAGGATGGTGCATTAAAATCGGGGTTAATGGTCAATATTGGAAATTTACTCAAAATGGCCGCCAAAGTAATGAAAGGAACCCACCTCATGAATTTGAATGACGAAAAAGCGGAACAAATAGAAAAGTTCGAAGCTGTTTTACAATTAAGATGGATACGAAATTTTGGCGATGCCGAATACCAGGTTGTAAAAAATAGACAATCTAAACTAAGATTGCCAAGTGAGCTACCTATTGAAAACGACGTGACACAGATTCGAAAGTACACCCTTGAAACGATGCAGCGAGAAGTCAGTGATGATTTGTCATTGTGGGGCCCCGAAAAATTCATAGTTGTCCGTAATTTGGTTATCTCCCGTTTAACGCTTTTTAATGCTAGGCGAGGAGGCGAGCCAAGTAGGTTGTTGGTGAGGCACTGGGAAGAGGCAAAAAGGGAACAATGGATCGATAAGCAACGTCGTTCAAAAGCAATTTCGCCGATGGACAAGTTTCTTATGGATAATTTTAAAGTAATATATCACGGTGGGAAAGGCATTTCTCATCTAGTCCCAGCACTTGTGCCGCCTGACTGTGTCGAAGCATTAGACGCGCTTTCAGATCCAGAGATACGGCAGCTATGCGATATAAACAATAAAAATGAATTCCTGTTTCCCAGTACACGCCATTCTATGGATCATGCCAGCGGCTGGCACTGTACAAAGGATGTCGCTACTGCTGCGGGAATAAAAACCAATATTACAGCTACACAAATGCGGCACAGAGCAGCAACTTTGTATGCCGAACTCGATGTACCCGAAAATTTCAGGGATGCTTTTTTTCGTCACATGGGACACTCCAAAGAAATAAACAAAAACGTTTATCAATGTCCACTGGCAGTACAAGAAATAACACAAGTCGGATCATACTTGGCTAATATAGATGGATTTTCACTTCCCCAAGGTGAGGCTAGCAATCATTTCGTTAGGCAAAATCTTATCCTAGCAATTTGTGTTTGATTCACTATAATTGCTATATGTGGATTTCATACTTAATCGAATTAGCTTCCCTTATTCACATTCTGTTGTTTCGATATACTATTGGATATGTTTTTCAGGTAATCTTCATAATATTGCACCAACACCTTCTGAAAAACATAGTATCTCTTCGTTCGAAGAAGGTGAAGAAGAATTCAGGGAAAGAGGTTTGTATTTCTGTATTTTACCATAACCATAATGTTATGATTTTGAGCTAGTATAGGCAGGAATATTGCGTTTTGTTCCACAAACAATTAGAGTGTTAAATTTTCTCCTCAATTAATTTAACATTAATCTTGTTTTTTAGAAACTTCAATTTCTACGCAGTTGCAAAATACTACTCAATCATCATCCGGTACGTCCCTATGTGATGAAGAAATTATAGGAAAAAAACGAGGTTAGTGCTTTTGTTACACTTTTCAACACCTAAATAATTATTGAACTGCCATTATCTATTTTAGTAAGAAGATATACAAGATGGTCGCCTTCTGCCACGTCCAGTCTTTTGACCTTTTTCAAATCCTATATCGAAGACACCTCATCTACAGGGTGCAAGGGCACTTTACCAGGTATCTTCATTTGATTTCAAACCTTTTTTGAATAAAGCTTCTAATTAAGTGGTTAATTTTCAAATTTGCTAGCTATTTTTTAAGTTGAAGGGTGTTAAAATAGCTGGTTATTTAAAAAATTGTGCGTTAAAGCATGGTTTTAGGAGTAAGCATTTGAATTTTTCAAGCTGGCTAGTAAATCTAAATGTCCTCTCTGAAAAGTGAATGCGAAACGTTAAATTATACTTCCTTTTTCTGCAGGCCGGAAGATAATAAAAGAATTTCTAGAAAAGCATCATGATATTCTCGAAGGTCTATGCGAAAAAGAAAAAGTTTGTGCAACACACACAAAAGTCTTTAACGAACGAAATAAATTTAGACGAAAGTATGATGCCAGCTTAAAAGCTTTGACCGAATGAGCCTATTAAGTTGACTTGCAGTTTCTTTTTAATTAATGGTCGCGGTACCGAACCTGATTCTTTTATTTAATACTTTTATCAGCGAATGTGTCAGCGTTACATATTCATTGTGTCCATGTTTTTTTTTACTGTAGGGTATAGTTGACTGTATACTGTTTAGAGTTTTGTTTTACAATTATAGGTTACACTAAACTTAGTCGAATAATTGGACATTTTAAATATCAATATGCTCCCAGAATTAACTCAATGTCACAATTATAGAGGTCAGATGGGTGATTTATGATATATTTTGGTGTCGTTTCTCAATCTAATTTTAAAATTTCGTTTTTAATTATGCCGCACTCATGTTGTCAAATAGGTGGACATTTTGAAAATATTTTGTGCAATGTTTTTCAATGGGAGCGGTGTTCCAAATTTCATTTTTCAATTGCGTGTAACACTTAAAAGGCCGTATACGTATTTATTCTGATTCTCAAAATGCTTGGCATTCCATATTTTTTTTATTATTTGGGTAGTGAATTAAGTGGTCAGAAATGTGAACATTTAAGAAATATTTCTCAATAATATTAGAGAATTTCAGAATTCCGTTTTTTTTATCATTTGCACACTTAAGTGGCAAGATAGGTTAACATTTGAGAAATTTATGTGTACTAATTCTCAATATGGCTCTGATATTTCGTATTTTTCATTTACCATATCATATTTCGTTTTTTATTATATGTCGATTCAAGTTGTCGGATAGGTGGACATTTGAGATATAGTATGACATACTATGTGTGTTCGGATTTTCAAAATGATTGGCATTTTGGATTTTCGTTTTTCAATTATATGTCGAGTAGGTCAGATAGGACATTTGAGATATATTTTGATTAGTGACTCCCAAAATAATTCGCATTTTGGATTTTCGTTTTTCAATTATATGTCGATTTAAGTGGACGGAGTGGTGGACATTTAAGATATATTTTCAATACTGATTCTCAAAATTATTGGCATTTTGGATTTTCGTTTTTCAATTATATGTCCATTTAAGTGAACGGATAGGTGGACATTTAAGATATACTTTGATTAGTGATTCTCAAAATTATTGGCATTCTGGATTTTCGTTTTTCAAATATATGTCGATTTAAGTGGACGGATAGGTGGACATTTAAGAGATATTTTCAATACTGATTCTCAAAATTATTGGCATTTTGGATTTTCGTTTTTCAATCATTTGTCGATTTAAGTGGACGGAGAGGTGGACATTTAAGATATATTTTCAATACTGATTCTCAAAATTATTGGCATTTTGGATTTTCGTTTTTCAATTATATGTGATTTAAGTGGACGGATAGGTAGACATTTAAGATATATTTTGATTAGTGATTCTCAAAATTATTGGCATTTTGGATTTTCGTTTTTCAATCATTTGTCGATTTAAGTGGATGGATAGGTGGACATTTAAGATATATTTTGATTAGTGATTCTCAAAATTATTGGCATTTTGGATTTTCGTTTTTCAATTATATGTCGATTTAAGTGAACGGATAGATGGACATATAAGATATATTTTGATTAGTGATTCTCAAAATTATTGGCATTTTGGATTTTCTTTTTTCAATTATATGTCGATTTAAGTGGACGGATAGGTGGACATTTAAGATATATTTTGATTAGTGATTCTCAAAATTATTGGCATTTTGGATTTTCGTTTTTCAATCATTTGTCGATTTAAGTGGACGGATAGGTGGACATTTAAGATATACTTTGATTAGTGATTCTCAAAATTATTGCCATTTTTGATTTTCGTTTTCAATTATATGTCGATTTAAGTGGACGGATAGGTGGACATTGAAGATATATTTTGATTAGTGATTCTCAAAATTATTGGCATTTTGGATTTTCATTTTTCAATTATATGTCGATTTAAGTGAACGGATAGATGGACATTTAAGATATATTTTGATTAGTGATTCTCAAAATTATTGGCATTTTGGATTTTCGTTTTTCAATTATATGTCGATTTAAGTGAACGGATAGGTGGACATTTAAGATATATTTTCAATACTGATTCTTAAAATTATTGGCATTTTGGATTTAAATATTTTCAATATGATTCTCAAATTATTGGCATTTGGATTTTCGTTTTCAATCATTTGTCGATTTAAGTGGATCGGATAGGTGGACATTTAAGATATACTTTGATTAGTGATTCTCAAAATTGTTGGCATTTTGGATTTCGTTTTTCAATCATTTGTCGATTTAGGTGGACATTTAAGATATACTTTGATTAGTGATTCTCAAATTGTTGGCATTTTGGATTTTCGTTTTTCAAATTATATGTCGATTTAAGTGGACGGATAGGTGGACATTTAAGATATATTTTGATTAGTGATTCTCAAAATTATTGGCATTTTGGATTTTCGTTTTTCAATTATATGTCGATTTAAGTGAACGGATACATGGACATTTAAGATATATTTTGATTAGTGATTCTCAAAATTATTGGCATTTTGGTATTTTCGTTTTTCAAATTATATAATGTCGATTTAAGTGAACGGATAGATGGACATTTAAGATATATTTTGATTAGTGATTCTCAAAATTATTGGCATCTGGATTTTCGTTTTTTCATTATATGTCGATTTAAGTGAACGGATAGGTGGACATTTAAGATATATTTTCAATACTGATTCTCAAATCTATTAGCATTTAGATTTTCGTTTTTCAATCATATGTCGATTTAAGTGAAAGGATAGGTGGACATTTTAGATATATTTTGATTACTGATTCTCAAAATTGTTGGCATTTTGGATTTTCGTTTTCCAATCAATTGTCGATTTAAGTGGACGGATAGGTGGACATTTAAGATATACTTTGATTAGTGATTCTCAAAATTGTTGGCATTTTGGATTTTCGTTTTTCAATCATTTGTCGATTTAAGTGGACGGATAGGTGGACATTTGAGACATACTTTGATTAGTGATTCTCAAAATTGTTGGCATTTTGGATTTTCGTTTTTCAATCATTTGTCGATTCAAGTTGACGGATAGGTGGACATTTAAGATATACTTTGATTAGTGATTCTCAAAATTGTTGGCATTTTGGATTTTCGTTTTTTCAATTATATGTCGATTTAAGTGGACGGATAGGTGGACATTTAAGATATATTTTGATTAGTGATTCTCAAAATTATTGGCATTTTGGATTTTCGTTTTTCAATTATATGTCGATTTAAGTGAACGGATGGATGGACATTTAAGATATATTTTGATTAGTGATTCTCAAAATTATTGGCATTTTGGATTTTCGTTTTTCAATTATATGCCGATTTAAGTGAACGGATAGATGGACATTTAAGATATATTTTGAGTAGTGATTCTCAAAATTATTGGCATTTTGGATTTTCGTTTTTCAATTATATGTCGGTTTAAGTGAACGGATAGGTGGACATTTAAGATATATTTTGATTAGTGATTCTCAAAATTATTGGCATTCTTGATTTTCGTTTTTCAATTATATTTCGATTTAAGTGAACGGATAGGTGGACATTTAAGATATATTTTCAATACTGATTCTCAAAATCATTAGCATTTTAGATTTTCGTTTTTCAATCATATGTCGATTTAAGTGGACGGATAGGTGGACATTTAAGATATATTTTGATTACTGATTCTCAAAATGATTGGCATTTTGGATTTTCGTTTTTCAATTATATGTCGATTTAAGTTGTCGGATAGATGGACATTTAGAATATAATATGTGTTCGGATTCCCAAAACGATTGGCATTTGGGATTTTCGTTTTTTAATTATATATATGTCGATTTAAGTGCACACATAGGTGGACATTTGAGATATATTTTGAGTAGTGATTCTATTTTGGATTTTCGTTTTTCAATTATATGTCGATTTAAGTGCACACATAGGTGGACATTTAAGATATATTTTGATTAGTGATTCTCAAAATTATTGGCATTCTTGATTTTCGTTTTTCAATTATATGTCGATTTAAGTGAACGGATAGGTGGACATTTAGGTTATATTTTCAATACTGATTCTCAAAATCATTAGCATTTTAGATTTTCGTTTTTCAATCATATGTCGATTTAAGTGAACGGATAGGTGGACATTTGATATATATTGAGATTACTGATTCTCAAAATGATTGGCATCCCGGATTTTTGTTTTTTATTTATGTGCCGATTTTAGTGATATGTGGGCATTTGAGATATGTTTTGAATACTGATTCTCAAAATGATTGGCAATTTGAATTTTTGTTTTACTGTCATATGTCGATTTTAGGTGATATTTGAGATCTGCTTCGTGTAATGTTTTCCGATATGATTTCAGAATTTTTGAATAAAAATTAAAAAAAAAACGTTATTCTATGAGATAAATATTGGTTAAGTGTTCGAATTCATTGGAAATTGAAGCGAGGTCATACTTTTTAAAATGTGTAGTACTAACATAAATACCCGTTTACAATTATAAATTTCAAATAAACAATTTGCAATCATTTACATTCACCTCGAATGAATATGTGTTTGTTATGCACTGAAGAGCCATTTTTAAAAGTAATATCATTTATGCAGACATTCAGGGCGACATATAAATGGGGTCCGTCTTAGTGGCGAAATAGGCTAAAACATTTAGTGGTCTGAGTTAGGTGGACGAATTAAGCGGACAAAAATTTTATGTTTGTCATCGAGAGGATTGTTTTGACTCCTTTTCTGCGTAGTCGTCAATGGCTCTCACACGCTCCGTGCCTGTATTCAAAAATAATAATACGGACAAAGGGACGACGTTCGCTTAAGTGCTGCAATTATGGCAAGTCCGTTTAACTACCGTAATAGAGTTATATATATATATATATATATATATATATATCGTATGCTTGTGAATATGCCATTGCATGCTTGGTTGTTCGCCTACACGCAGGCGATTTCTCTGTGTCAAAAGTATCGCATGTTTTGTGATTGCTTATTTTATTTTTAAAATGGTTCCCCTAAAAACCGGCTAAAATAAATCAAATTCACTGTGAAGTAAGTTAAGTATGACCAAAACACCACCAAGTGTGACAACCTGTATTGGCGTGTATTTATGGAACAATTCGAGTTTGGGTCTCATTGATATGTCGTAAAAGACATAGCTCGTTCGTCCAGTACAAAAATATTACACCTGTCGTTGACTATATCTTGGAATCTCTGGTTTGCCACGATAATAGTAGAATACCGATTAGTTTTTTTTTCTAATTGGCACCATCGACAAAATCCACCAGGCTGAGTCCTCGTTATAGGGCCTAGGCTGAATAAAATCGACTTTGATGAACATAATACCACGCTTTTAGTTATAGAATATTTTTTGTTCAAGTCGAAATCTTCTGAGGAAATAATAAAACATAGGTTGACTAAGTGTTCTAAGCGGTTTAGTAAAATTGACGATTTTTTTCAATGACATCCGTGGCGGAAATAGCTTGAGTATGTCAGAAAACTTCTTACAACAATAATAATAATTGAAAATTGATATATTTGGCTTATGGTTATGTCGAACAAAGAGTCTTAGCTCCCGATGGGTTTGGAAGATTTTTTCACTATTTACTGCAATCTGTTACTGTCAACGTCTTGCATTGCGAGACATAAATAAATACTTAGGTGAATTCCAATCGATTGCGAAGTATGTGACTGTGTATTTATACTGAGTTGCATTTAATTTTAACGAATACAAAATTGGTATACTCACTGGGAATATTTTTGTGGGACTATTTCAAAACAAGTCTAGTAAACTAATTGCTTTGAGAAATTTCTCCAACAATACCGCATACCGCAAGTAGAACATGAGCTTATGTTATTGACACTGTGATTCACTCAATAACCAAATTCACAAAATAATCAAATAAGATTATTATAAGAGATTATTGTAACCACGATGAGTCAATATCGGCAATACATTGCAATATTAAGAAAATAGCTTACTTGTGCATGAACAATGAATATACATTGAATAATATGACCGTTTTGTGTTTATTATATACACGATATTTTACGACATTCTTATTTACTCATTCATTAAAATGCAATATATATATATCTGTTCAATAGTAAAATAGTTGCTAGCATTATAGTTAAATAAATGTATTCCATATTAGGCTATTCCAACATTTGCTTAATACTTCAATACAAATAATGGTATATAGTATTAGTTGGAAAGATTATATATATATGTATATTATATATACATTTGAGTATAACGGCTCTCAAAACCCATTCAAACATATTTAAACTGAAAATATGAATGAAATTTTTTTTATTTTTAAAACCATTGAAACACCTCTGTTTTCTGGGGCAGTAAAATACCCAAATAAAAGTTAGCCTCAATATTATGATCTGATATTAATCTGGGAATTGGCATTTTGCAAACAGGTTTAAAAAAATTCCAATTTAAAGGGGAAATTTTTTGTTTGCTCTGCTATACATGGTGGTTTTGTCTTAAATTTTTCAACCTTCGGGGCAAATGTGGCGTGGCTTATATATAAACGATGCGACGAAACAAGTTTTAAATCGTATTTTCGACTGGAATATTAGAGCGTATGATACGTTTCTAATCAGGTAAGTGTTTGCTTCTCATTATGAGTAATCCCAACTGAAAATGTTAAAATTAAAAAAAGACCTGTGACGCCGAATCTGATACCTATGAATATTGTGTTTTTAACGATTCAAAAATAAGGAAATGATCCCGAATTGAAAGTTACTAAATTTACAAATGTTTTCAAGAATGAAAGCAAATTGTGTAGTGCTTCAAATTTTGCTTCATCGTGTTTAATTTTGATCAAGATCGTAAAACATTTTCTAAAATGCTTTTTTTTCTTGATTGGCGCAAGGCTACTTCGATTCCATTAGAATATATTGCTAGAATATGCTCCAATTTTTCAAATTTTCAGCATCTTAGTTTCGGCTTTCAAGTTAATTTTTTTTTGCTTTTTTTTAATATTTTCGAAGATAGTAAATTTAATAAATAATTAATCAACTATTTTTAGTTACAGAAATGCTGAAACTTGTAGCGACTGTTATTGCCTATTTGCTCTTTGCGGGCGATATCGCTGCGGGTCAAAAGTGAGTATTGTCTTGTTTTGTGTCAGATTTGTTATTTTGACATGTTTTGGTTTAGTTGAGTTATGAAGTTCTCAATGTCACGTAATCGGAATTGTGGAGGTTAAAAATTTACTTGGGAACCACACGCCCAAAATGCAAATTATAGCAGTAAAAGTAAATCAGCATGATATGTACAAAAATAGATTTATAGTACAAGAACTGTGGTAGTAGTTGAGGTAAAATCAAAAATGTGATTTTAATCTGATATTGATGATGAAAAATGATCCCGATGTAGCAACACGCGACAGAGTTGAATCGAATTATTTGAACTATTTTAAAAAAATATCAAACATGGCTTGTTGTCATCGCCAATAGTCGTTTGTAGCTCCACTATCAGTCTCCTCTATTTGTTTCAAGTTGGCGTCTCGCGATCTTGTTTTAAAAAATAAAAGTTAAAATTATATCTTATGTCCAAATTTTATCAAGAGCGGCTTTACGTCATTGCAAGTATTTCGTAAATAGCCTTTATTACCAACACATACTTCGGATATATATTATTTTGTCAAACTACGAAGCAACGGGTACCGCAATATTAATCAGTATAATATATCTATGTTCTATCAAACTTTCCGAAGCTATTAATGTAATGAATAACTTTATTTTAGCACATACGCTGTGTACATACCCAAATATGTTCGACGTGGAATCCCATTTAAGATTGGTGTAAAAATAATACAAAGTGAAAATCCCGTCATTGTTGAAGCAACTCTCAAATCGAAGGATTTCAATGAAACGTCAGTTGCAACAACTATTGGAAGCGGTGAGTGCAATCAAAATATTTCTATCTAGTTTATAATTGCGTATATACCAGTGGTCTGCCCTTTCAATAACAGTATTTGCGATAACTAACCAACTAGGAAACATATATTTTATAACCCTCCAATGAGTAATATATAATTATTCATTTCTCTTTCTTTTGCAGGCGAAACTCAAACGATCATCATCAAAGAGGTATTTTTTTTTTATATAACCACATTTATTTTGACACGCGTTAATCTATAATTGTAATACAAAATCTTGACTGCGCCATTTTGTAAATTTGTTCAACTTTTTTCTCGTGTGTTGATTATTTTAGTACACAAAAAGCGCGACAGAGAAGAACAATTTTTATCGCAAATTTAAATTTAAAAGACGCAATTAAAAAAAAAAGACAAGCATAAATTCATCTTATAAGAATGTCTTGCAAAATGTTGCTAACAAACTTCTCACGAAATGAACTAGTCTATGAATACTTGTCAATTCATACATTGTTTAATTAAATCACAATTTTTGGAGAATGATAAGGACAAGGTGAGAGTAATGCGATTTAAACAATAATTATGATTTATTTGATACTATTACCTAACCAATTTTAAGTTTATTTTAAAGGTATATGTTTGAAAAAAATTAATACCAACTTATTATTCAATCAGGTTCCTTTAGAATACAAGGATGATCATTATTTTCAAATCGAAGTCGTCGGTACAGACAGTGTTACGGGTGTAGAATTATTTTTCAACAAAACCGAAGAATATAAACTTAGATTGCAGGACAAAGCTTTTTCTATTTTTATTCAAACTGATAAAGCAATCTATCAGCCTGGCCAGACAAGTAAGTAAAATGATGGTGTATGTTTACCTGACCAGGAAAATATAATGTTTTGCAAGAAAAGCTTTCAAGTACATACATAAAAATATAAGTGGATAATGTGAAAAATTAAAAGCTTCGTTTAAGTGATTATATAAAATACAAAAGCGTGCTAATTATCTTCTCCACGTACTTTGATTATAGTAAAAAATAATTAGCATAATGAATCAAATATACCCATTGCATTAAATTCATGTTCTTCCTGAGAAACAAGTACTGTATATACAAATGAATATTTTTGCATTTCGCGAGTTTTATTTTCTATGTTTCAGTCAAATTTCGTGCAGTGGTAACGACACCCGATCTCAAACCACTAAAGAATGCTGACGGCAAATTACCCTTGGTAAAATATAGTTTGCACGATCCAAGTGGCAACACTGTACTTCTTAATAGCAGTGCTAGTCTGGTCAATGGAGTTGTTGGTTCGCAATTTACACTTGGTCGACACGCCAGTCTCGGATCTTGGCGAGTTAAATATACAGTTTATGTAAATATTCTCTTATAAATATTTTGTCTTTTTATTTTTATCACAAATTATACCGATATTACGAATAAAACAAGAGAGAGAAAAAATCTGGTTGAATTTAAATTTTTTTCACACGATTCTATCACGTATGTAGTACAAAAGCATTTGTGTGAATTTGCATTGACTTATAAGCGATGATATTGCGTTTGGACGTGAAACATAATAAATGTGCAATTCCCATCGCCTTTGAAATATATTCCACACCTATGAATATTAATTAACACCTATCCAAACTTTTTTCTTTTATCATAGCCATAGATCGTAATAACATTGCTTCAAATTCAGCCATTATTCTAAATATAAAATATAGTACAAATTTAATGAAACTCTGAACAACGTTTACGGTGTTTTTAGGAACACGTTGAATCGATGGATGTTACAGTTGAAGAATACAAACTACCCAAAGTCAGAATACAAATCAAAACAGATCAAAAATATTTGCACCCGAAATCAACGGAGCTAACTGGGGAAATCAGAGCTCTGTAAGTTTCGAGTAATTTTATGTTATAGTCTATGTTTGCTATCATCTATCGACGAAACATTACAGAAAAACGAATTTAATTACTAGAACTTTGGACTAGATTCCAATGAAGTAAATTAACGATTTTGTTAGCAGAATACTTCTAAACCCTCATGTTTTGACTTTGTAGATCATGTATTAAGTTACCGCATTTACTCTGGATAATTAAATCCATTTACCATACGTCTTTTTAAAACAATGATTGACGTCAATTGTTTAGCCAAACAATATAATATTCAATAGATAATAGAATAATTAGAATAATATTCACAGATATTGTAGTACTTTTTTCCACTTATATAGTTTTCTAATACAAGCTTCCAGCGCTGTAGTTTATGATTGGTCCGTACTGGTCTCGGTGACTGTATTCTTATTATCAAACAAATTTAAAGTTACATTTATCGTCAGTGTTTGCATTAATCTACAGCTCAAAAAACTTTCTTGTTGCTTAATTCTACGTGTGATACTTTAGTTTAGAGTAATTATTAGTTGTAATGGGACAGTTGCAAGCATCGATGTTCAGAAATGTAGTGAAAACTAGTTAGATAGGAGTTGGACTGTCTTTTCTCAACTGTTAATTGGACACGACGTAAACTATGAATAGTTTAAAAAAAAATGTTTTTGTTGCTGGGGTCATTGTTGTTATGAATGATATAAAATTAATTTCTTCATCAAATAATGGACCGGTTGATTTTCAGTAAAAATTCAGTACCTAAATATAGAAGAAGTCATTAGGAAGCTGTTTTTATTTATTTATAATGTTCTTATTTATTTTTGAGTCTCATAAAACCCGATGTTTTACCACAATTGATGCTTTTTTTAGTCCATTCGACGCGAATGATTTTTATGAAATATGGCAACCCTTTTTTACCATCACGCTCGACCGCCTCCCTAATGCTCTCCGGTCGGTCTTTTCCGCAAACTCAGTGCTCTCCTGTGACGTTGTTCCTCTTCCGACTTCATATAATTCAACTTTGCTCTCTTGTTTTATCGTTAGTTACTGACATGTGTGAAACCAATATTTTAAATATTATTAGCGATACCAAACCGCCTGCTTCCTTATAAGGCTCTTGGCGCGTAAGTCGCATCTTAATTAAAGGTGTCTATTTTATTTATTCCAGGTTTACATTCGGACAGCCAGTCAAAGGAAGCGGAAGAATAGAATTCACTGTTGAAAATTACTACGGCAGGAATTCCCAACAAACCATCGTACAAAAATTCTCCGTAAGGTTATAAAATAAACTATAACACAATAAATCTACATGCCTTTCCATATTTCAACAGGTGGGTCAGATGCAAGTAATAAACTTTTTTGTTAAGGAATTCAACGGGACAGCATTTTTCTCCATCAGGACGTTGGACATCAAGAACGTTCTAGGATGGAACCAAAAAGACATGTATACAGAACCTTTGAAAATTACAGCTTATGTCAAAGATAAAAACACAGGAGAAGAATATAAAAGTGAGAAAACCATTTTTGCATGATGTTTTATTCAATATTTCCACATAAATACACAGAAAAAGTTTCAAGAGGCCATAAGCAAAATAATTGATCATTAGCGACCATTTTCGTTCTCTTGTCCCCTTCAATGTTGAAGGAGTTCAGATAAATGCTTGTTTGATCAAATGATAAATTTACTTATCCACTATAACTAATGCATCAACTAACTCGCCAAATTTGGCCTCGGAATATCTCTGTAACAAGTATTTTTTCTAATTATGAAACTTTATTGGGGGAACTTCGTACAATGAGTGGGTTTAAATTAGGCTTATTATACTTATATGAATAATTGAAAGAAGATGAACAAATAATCGAAAATGTTCTTCAATCTAGTCACTACCTCAAACTTTAGAAATTACTCCAAAATATTTTTTTCGAATTTCCCTTTTTTGCACAGAGACAACGTCTGTCGCCCTCAAGACACAACGGTTGATGTTTGAAGCTGTTGCAACACCTCATATTATCAAACCTGGATTTCCTTATACAGCATATGTGAGTCTGGGCGGAACTCCACATTATAGTTTTAATTGAAATGATAAACTAACTGATCACGCGTTTACTTCTGATTTGTTTCATCGTTTTGACGGTTTATCAGATTCGATACAGAATTTGTGTGTAAATGGGTGCAATAGACTGTGTCGTATATTTTAATAAATTGATATATATATATATATTGCGATATAGATATGGATAATTATATTGTTTTGAAAAATATTTCAGATCATGGTGTCAGAAATGGATGGAACACTTCTTTCTGAAGAAGAACGAAATAATTTTCCAATATACATTGATATTGAATATTCGTGAGTTTTTACATATTTAAACCTAAAAAAGCCCTTTTTCCCCTTTTCATTTATATTAAACATCAGAAGATATTCGACGTGGCTTTAGACATTTGACAGCCGAGTTTGATACATGATTCATTTTTGAGAAGTAGGTCTCTGTTTGACAGCCAAATACCTATTTATGAAAACCTAGGATTCAAAGTATATTCAGCGTTCAATGATCATTATAGATATATATCTAGCTGGGCGAAATGCAATTGTCATTTCTTTTTAATCTAGTTCATTTAGTGATCCAAACATCGTAAAATACTGACAAGCTAATTTTTATTCCACAAATCCTATTTAGTTCGCAGCCTAAACTTTTATTAATGGTTTAATAGTTTGGATTTATGCCGAATAATATTTCTCAAATTTTCTTTTTCACTCCTTTAGTCATTTTACTTTTTATTTACATATAATTAGAAACATATAATGTATGAGACAGCAACTCATTTTTACTTGATATTATTTTTTTGCGATGTGACTAAGATAGATTTTTAAGATAAATGGAGCATTCTGGAACAATCAAGAAACCTGTAAAAAGTTTGAAACATAGGAAATATCATGTGCCCGCTCACCAGCACATACACAAAAAATCACAAACCTTGTTAAACATATTCACAAATCGTCAGTAATTCTAGTCGAATTAATTCAGTTTTTTGAAACGTTCAAAATTACACCTTTACCTGTTAAGATACGAGTGGATCCTGGATGACGATAAACTTGGCAATCGAAAGAAAGAAAAAAAAATCTCAGTTCCTGTCGAGGTTGATGAGAATGGTATTGCCAAATTGGATATAATAGCGGATACAAGTGATTTTATTCGAGCAGACTTCAAAGTAAGACTTACTTATAACCATAGCAGCGAGTTGAACAGACCATTTTGGCTCTGCGATTTGAATGTCTCCGGTTAAGTTCTCATGTAGAGTATAGTGAATTTGGTAGAACACGGTAAACCAGAAAGTTTTTGGTACTCCCTAAATATTTGGTTCAATCAAAGATCGGTTTTTTGAATAACCGCCACACTAAAAATTCCAAAGCCCTTTTTATAAAACAGAGAGCCAAATTACTAACAATCATATGACGCAGTACACCATTACCAGATACCCATACCAGTTTAACAATTAGTTTATTTAAGAAAAATCTACGATGTTTAATCAAATTATATCTTAATTAATGGATCCTCATATAGATAAAATATTATACAATATAAAAGGCTATTTGAACTCTTATTGCTACAAGATACTCCGTTATGTCGAAGCAATCAAAATATAAACAAATTACTCATAAAACAAATTACCAACAGTACATTTTTTTCACTTCAGGTGGAGGTTCCTTCAAGTTTCGACGAAAACCAGTTTTGGTTGACTTGGGTTACAAATGCTTTTTTATCACCTTCGAACAGTTTTATAGAAATATCTACCGACGATCTTGCATTGGAAATAGGAAAAAAAGCAAATCTCACTATTCATACAACAGATATTTCCGAAAACTATTGGTTTATGGTGGGTAAATATTTAAATACGTATTAGTTAGGTAAGTTAGTTATGTACCTATTATTCCTTAAATAAGCTTATTGAGATACGTGAATACCCTGACTATTAAGATTGCGTTCAATCCTAAGATAACGGCTCGTTGGATTTGTGGCGACCACAAAACTATAAAATAGACCAGGGCTTCCCAAACTAGGGGCCGCGAAACGAATTTTAGGGGCCGCAAAGAGAGCACCAATTTTACACAAAGTACCATATCTATTGTACTTTTCCAGACTCTTGATTCGAAAAACAAATATTAAAAATAATGTGAAACAATTTCACGATTCGTAATGAACACATCATCATTCTGTGTAAATAAGACAGTGTCTTCAATTTTATTTCGAAAATAACACTAGGGCTTATTTTGGGAATATGTAGAGAATAACGAGATTTTTTATTATGCCAAATATGAATACGGATTTTCATTACTTATAAATAGCACGTCTTCATTTAAAATAACTGCTACATATAGAATATTAACCAATTATAAGAGTAGAAATTTCTTGCTATCGACTAGGACTCAGTGGTTCTCGAACTTCATTATATTGTGACGCCTTCCAAAAATATGCTCAAGTTACGACTACTCGTGAAAATACGTATTGATACCTTTCAATAAGAGACTTTTTTTGCAATGAGTTTCATATGAAGGAACAAAAAAACATAACGATAGTCAGTGAAATCATACTTAATGGGCCTTGGTAGAAAAGTCTGCTTTATATAAAAACGAAATCGCAAAGGGGATAGGAGTCCGCAACGCTTTTTGAACCAAGAAAAATAATCTTTATCTACAGAAAACCAAATTTTCAGAATTAAACTTTTTTATTGTAACACCATCACAGGTAAGGTCGATATAATCTCCCCCTTTTTCTGTAAAAGTAGAAGATATGGGTTGTTTGAAAGGTTCACGATTCACGAAATTTTGCGACGTCCTAGCAAAATTGAAACGACGCACTTCCACGGGATTAGGTCAAAAAAATTTGCGCTATTGACTAAGTCTTTTTTAAAGGGGAGCGCTTATATTAAAATAATCTATAAAATTTAGGCATGGTTTTATTTTCGGGGAAACACAGTAGAATCCCCGCGCTTATATAACAATGCATATTTTGATCGAAAGACCCGATTTGCGTGTGCTTTCATAACAATGCCAATGCCTAAAAGGCTTTAATAATTGTTAAGCTAGTTTGCTAAGTGCGCCTCAAAATTTATAACATATTTTATTTATTCTAAATGTTTTCTTGCTTATCATTGTTGCAAATGTTGTGTACACGAATAAAATTCATTTTACTGTTCTGTGATGTGTACGCTCTGATACGTCGGGTATCCTACATGCTTCAATTTCGTAGGCTGCAGTTTATTCATTTGCTGAACATGAATGATTTTTTTTTAGCATCTTAGAGAAAAACCAGGCAGAGATAAGAAGTACATATTAACGATGACGAAATTGTGTTTTATCAGGCAGCATATTTTTCGTGTAGGTGCGCCCTGAGTTTTTTCCATGATAATTTGGCGTCACACAAACCGCTGTCTTATGCTAAGTTTGATCAATAAGAGTGAATAATTCCAGATAAGTACCATGCCGTCGGTGGCCAGCAACGACTAACATACGGTAGCCAGACATCGTAATTCATCATTTAGGCCTGCATAAACAAACATTGAGCCAAGGCTGGACTTGCTATGCAGCAAAAGCATTCGCACCCATTACACTGAATAATTAAGTAACGTTAATCTGAATAAAAGTGTGCTTGTTTTTGTAATTGAGTAGGCCTATTAAAAGTTGAGATATAGCTGTGTCAATAAAACATCAAAATGCATATTTCGAGCTGTTTAGCATTATTAGCGCGAACAAGGGCCGCGGAAAATTTTAATATATTAAAAGGGGCCGCGAGCTAAAAATTTTGGGAAGCCCTGAAATAGACTATATATAGATTAGTGTTGTTCTAACTGTTTTCGTCGCGAGCAACTTGATACGGCCAAATATTTCGCGACACTCCGTAGCTAAAATAAAGTAATAGAACAAGTACTAAGCATAAATAGAACAATTACTGCTCTACTGCACTTTTCATCAAAACCAGTCACTACTAATTGCTTAGATTTAACTTCCCCTGAACCTCAGTACCGGTAGCCTATATTTCGTTGGCACTTTCTTCAAACATAAAATCTTAGAGCCAGAAGCGACGTTGTGACGTAACAATAGTTATCTAACGCATGATGACTCGTCTACGTTTGGTTTTGTTCTGCCTGGCGGAGGCGTACTTAGTTCTCTAAATAAAATTTACTTAGTTCACTGAACACTTTAACGATAATATCGGTCGGAGACCGAAGACTTATCGATCGAAACTGCGGTTTGGATTCATGACTCTATAGTGACACCGCGTGTCTCATCACTAATTAATTAATTACTCGCTAATTATACAACATAATGCATCCAAAATCAATAGGCTTCTAGTCCGAGATATGATGAATGCACATGCAAAATGGAGCAGATTCAACCTCGCTTTCGTGAGATATCATGTGCGTCTAACAGACAGACAAATACCTATCAACATACTTACCGATCAAGATCGATATGTAATTATGTCTTGAAACACTAATGCGATCCCACTGAGCCCTTTCGTGACCCATCGGGGGATTTGGGCCCCTCAGTTTGTAGAGCCAAGTGATATGTACAATTGAGTTAATTTTTGTGCGATGCCTAATTACGTTTACGTGATGAATGAGAACGTTTTCTACTCCTACGTCCGTGAGAAGGTTTAGCGAATCTGTTAACTTGTTTTGTTTGGTATACTGGGAGCTTCGGTATTTTGACATGTTATTAGACGTTGACGTCACCCCACTGCCTTTTTAATTCATTTTATTGTTTACAGATTATTGCCAAAGGAAACATCGTAAAACAAGAATTGTATTCACCCCTCAATCATGTTAAGGAATCAAACTTTTCAAGCTTTGAATATAGTTTTGATGTCACAACGGAAATGACTCCCAATGTTCTTATCATGGTATCATTCGTGCGTGAAGACAGTGAAATTGTTGCAGACAGTGTTAAAATCCCAGTACGGGCAGTTTTAGCCAATAAGGTAACATTGTTACTAGTATCAGATGCATATATTATCGGCACGTCAGTGAACATAACGATTTATTATGCATTTTATGCTGGCACTCTTCTTCTTCTTCTTGTTCTGTGTCACAGCAAAAAACGCTTCTCTCTTTGATGACTAGACCAATCTCTTTAAAATTTTCAGAGGTTGAAGATTTAATTTTTTGCTAGATAGCTATTGTTGTTGTTGTGTGTCCATATATTTGAGCATAGCTCTCTTGTTTATTTTTGTAAAGTTATTTTTGAATGATGAGTTTATTTAATATTGCTCCAAGCACGTTAGAAATAATAAGTTGACACATATTCACTTTCAGGTGACCTTAACTACAAATACTGATCAAACAGACATAAGATTACCAGTCAATATTACGATTAATGCAGAACCAGGTTCCTTCTTTGGTTTGAGAGCTATCGATCAGAGTGTTCTGCTGTTGAAATCAGGAAACGATATTACTCAGAGCAAGGTGGGAATGGACAATTTTTTACCTGATAAGAGTGTAAACCAATGCTGCGTCCATATGCCACTTTTCAGAGATATTCCCTGAAAGGCAAGACCTCGTCTTATTGATTGAACCTGGCTACGCCATCCTTGCTGATAATTTTGACATTTGAGATTGTAATCTTAGCATTTCATAAAGATTTACTCAAAAACTTTTTTATTCTTATTCTTCTAGTAATGGCCACCATAGTGACCATCTTCATTGACACATTTCCCTTCTTCGACGATTCTATTTTACGATTTACCTAATTTCACGTCTGTTTCGAATGATTGTCAAGAGAAAATAAACACGTCTAACATTCGAATCTGAAAAACAATACAAAAATTATATAGACAAGTAGTAAATATTTTATAAAAGAAATACCTAAATATTGAAATATTTTGTTATTTTTTATATAGATTTTCAGTGACTTGGACAAATATGGAAGAAATGAACATACAACTACCGGTTGGAACACACCATGGGCGAACAAATGGTGGTCTTACCCTATTCATGGAAATAACGTAGCTGAAGTTTTTGAGGTAGCTGAATAAGTTTTATTCTAAATCACAGATTATTGCAAGTGTAAGTTTCATGGTACTCGTGTACGTTACTCCAACGGAGTTAGTTTATTATTAATTGTCGAGTTCCGACATCGACACATTCCAATATTGCAGTATATATAATCTTTCAATTCCTGTTGTAACTTTTTATTTTGTAGAATGCCCTACTGATAGTTTTGACGGATGCTCTAGTATACCAAACAGTGAGACTGGGTAAGACTAGATGTAAAACTGAAACACTACCATAACCCACTTATCACGCATGTCAAAAGTGCACAATGAACAATATTTGCATTGTGACACTGACAATCGGAAACAATTACAAGAGGATTCTGATTACTATGCAGAGGCGTGGCCAAGGGGTGGTTAGTTGTTTCGATCTAACTTGGCAAATATAAAATTTGGAACCACGCCCTTTGAAAATTTCTGGCTACGGCTCTGTTACTATGGCCTATTTGTTAGTAATGATATTAAACTTTTACAATGATATACTCAAACACACTTGCGTACACGCAGCACATATCTTTGTAAAATCTCAAACAAGATGAAAAAGACAGATAATAAATAACATGCTAAAAGAGATCCGAGTTCAATATTGAAAAGTTATTTCCACTTATAATGTTGTAAATATTTTCTTTCCATAATAGGAAGCGAAAAATATTTAATGAAATTTTATTCCATTTTCTGTAAATACAACAGCAAAATATTATATATAATTAACAATGTTTTCTTTAATTTAATTAAAGATCCATGCCGACCCATTAATAGTAGTTATCTTGGAGATGACCGTCTTGGCACCCCAGCAGTACCGAGAAAAGACTTTCCAGAAACTTGGATTTGGACTGATGGGTACATTGGGTGAGACAACTATTTATTATTTAGCACAATGTTTTTCAAACGGGGTGCTGCGGCACACCGGTGTGCCGTAAAATATTTTCAGGGGTGCCGCGGGGAATTCTCCAATTTGTATGTCTATGCGGTGTAGTGCCCGGCAGAGTAATCATGTAGTACTTTTAGTTATCAGAAGGTGGCAATTTGCCTTGTGCTTGCAGACGAGAAAAATGATCAGTCTTTTCATAGTAGAATTGCCATTATTGTCGACTTATTAAATCATAATTTGAACTCAAAATAGAATTCACGGATTCCACGCAATGACTTTGCAGGGTTTTTATTCACTATTTAATACGAAAATAAAACCACAATAGAAAAGTAAAATCATGAAGGTCAATAGTGTCTTCATGAATATCCGCATTCTGGCGTCAGAAATGATAATATTTTTAGCTTAAAACTGAGAAAGTTGATTCACAAACGGTGACAGGAAAGATCAAAGCCGACCCAAAAGATAAAAATCGGAATAAAATCCCGAATTTTTTGAAATTATTCGATTCGATGAAAATATTTTCTCACCCTTGCGATCTGTAATCACGCCAGTAATCTGGCGAAACGCGTGGTAGTTCAAACACTGATGCAATGAAACTTAATAAAACTTCATAAATTTAGGAAATTGCACTACTTCATGAAAGCGTGGTGGAATTGACGATTATTTCATATCTTGAACACAAAAACGGTTATATTTTTAGGATAGTTCCTAAGCGGTCAGAAAGTCGAATAAGCGTTTTGACATAGTAAATGCCATAATCTTTGCCATCAAATTATGGTCGGGCACGACATTCACAACGTGTTAATTTAAAATTGTTCATAACAACTTTAGCATATTTAGTGTTTTTAGCGATAATACTTAATTGTTGTAGTGAAATACAGTTTGTTTGCCTCTTTCCTTTCTCTCGCAAGTGCCGACAATAACACTATTGAATGATTTTGGCAATGGGAAAAACCTATTGAATTGTAACAAAAATGATTTAGGTTGTGAAAAAGTCAGAATACATGTGATAATAATAAGGCCCGTAACGTGGAACGGGGGAGGGCGTGCAAAACCAGAGGGCGTAATCGGCGGTGCGTTTGAAGACCACGTATTACCCGTGCGGCCGCGAAACTTTTACAATAATGTGAGATGTTTCGAATACGTGAGAAAACAGTTGAAATGTCGGTAACTATTAACCATTTGTTCGCGTCCGACTATCGCACTCTTTATGAGTAAAAAATGTTTAAGTTTTGTGATAGGTGTGCCGCGAATATTTAAAGAGCTAAATAGTGTGCCGCGATATAAAAAAAGGTTGGGAACCACTGATAGCAAACTTTAACTGGAAAATACCTTTGAATCTTCCTAAGAACTTTCTATTTCGTATTGCTTGCCTGCCGATATTTTTAGCAAACTTGGTGTTCTCGAGTGCCGATACCGATATCTGTGTGTCCATATATTTGAACATTGCCCTTTTGTTTTCATAATGTTTGTACTTAACTCAACATAATATTTCTCCATGAATTTAGTAAGGACGGTTCCACCACATTAACCTACAAAACACCGGACACAATAACATCCTGGGAACTTAGTAGTTTTGCTATTTCTGATACAAAAGGACTTGGAGTCACTAGGAAAAATTCCGAGGTGAGAACGATGCTAGCTAGATGCTGAATAATTTAGAAAGTTTTGTTGCATTGAATTAAAAACTCGAACAAAGCTCGATATCAACGAAGATAAAAGTTGGTGGCTAAGAACTGACTGAAGAACTTTCGATCGATAAGTCTTCGGTCTCTGATTGATATTCTCGTTTTTATTTTGACGCTTAAGGAACAGAGAGTTTCTGCACTAATTAAGTTCACAATCAATCAATCTAATGAAATGTTTTATGAAACTCTTGTGGCATGCAACAAGCATTCAACCCCCGTGTCAAATTTAAATTGTTTCCCCATTCACAAATTCCATATTTCTTCTTCATGTATGTTATAACTTATAACCACAGGAAAAAATTGTAACATATTTAGTATTATTATTTTGCTTCTTAGATCAGAGTATTTCGAAACTTCTTTATCTCCCTCAATCTCCCGCCAACTATGATCAGAGGAGAAACACTCAACATGAGGACGACGATCTTCAACTACTTTGATAAAGATATTGAGGCGAGTGAATTGGTTGTACTTGAATAAAATATAATTAAACGAGAGCAAAATAGCGCGCATTTTACAATATGCCATAATATATCATGGAACCTAAGTCTTCGACGCAACTAGTGACAATAATTGCGTCATCAAGAATGAATTTAAGTCCGTTGGTCACCAAAACCTCTTCGAATAAAGGAAATTTAACTATTAAGCAATTTTTTATAAATGTTTCGTCTGACTAATGCACTACAGAAAATTATTCCTCCATTAATTTTATCTAGTACATTGGTCAGACGGAACGTTACAGAAATATACCTGAGATAATGCCCAGAAAAACTATTGAATCCTTTAGAATAGCGATCCTCACTTCTGCTAGTCATCCTTGCATTTTATACATAGTGATCCACCAGCACAATAGAAGAAGGATAAGTAGTTTTTCCCATAGACACCCAATCACAAGTTAATATAACTTCATTACAATATTGTTACATCGTCATCCTCGATCTTGAAAGCACATTTTATATTGAGTCTGTTATATACTAATTTCGCTTAAAAATGTAACAGGTTACCGTTACATTGGAAGAGAACGAATGGTACGATCTTATCATTATTGGAGATGATAAAATTGCAGCAGGTCCAATTCGAAATATTAAAATACCTGAGAAGGATTCAGCAACAGTCGTGTTCCCGATAACGTTTAAAAAAGCTGGAAATGCAAAAATACTTGTGAAAGCGCTGACATCTCAAGCTGGAGATGCAGTGGAAAGAACAATGGTTGTCAAGGTGAGACTATAACTTTGTTACTAATTACTTGCTGATAATCGATTTTAATCGGCAAGTATGTTGATAGGTATTTGTCTGTCTATTTGTCTGTTAGATGCACGCCATATCTCACGGAAGCGAGATTGAATCTCCTCCAGATTTTGCATGTGCATTCATCATATGTCGGACCAGAAGCCTATTGATTTTATTGAATTATGTCGTATAATGAGCGAGTTATTAATTAATTAGTGATCCCCTAACCTTCGATCGATAAGTCTCCGGTCTCTGACCGATATTCTCGTTTGACAGTTAATACCTCACCTAATTATATGTTTCAGTGTACGTTGGTGTTAATCTCGAACATGACGTCATTCAAATCATTTCACCCGGCGTAGTAAATACATGATAAATTCATATATTAGGAATAGCGCTACAGAAAGCATTAGAATTGTATTTTACTTTTAGCCCGAAGGAATTCAAAAGATTGAATCTCATAGTAGCATAATTGACAAAGCAAAAAATGATAGTAAAGCCGAATCAGTAATTTTCCCTGTTACTATTCCTGAATATGCTGTCATGGATTCTGCTCATGTAAAGTTCTCGGTATCAGGTAAAAAAGTTAATCAATAATCCATGAATATAAGGGGTTTTGTCAAGTTCGTGTATTTTTGGGGGTCATTGACCTGTTATTATTGTAACTTAAATATGAATAAATATCGAATTATTGTTGAACACGAAAGAAAATAAAATTGAGAAATTTAAATGTAGAAACTAGACTAGCCATTGTATGTAGTATATAATTGGTGTTTCAATCTCAATCTCAATAAATAAACACAACGATAACAGTTTAATAACCTAACAAAAAAAGCATACTGTACCGTTATGTTATTTAAAGTTTGTTTTTAGGCAACATACTGGGTAATGCTCTCAGTAACCTTGGAAATCTTCTAACAATGCCGAGTGGATGTGGCGAACAAACTATGGTCAGTTTCGCACCGGATGTTTACATCAGTCTTTATCTGGATAAAACAGGACAATTAGAGGGAGAAACTAAACAAAAATCAGAGAACCACATAAGAGGAGGTTTTATAAATGAGTTGAGGTACTTTCATCAAAAGTGTTACAAAATCCTGTGCATTTTTGCATTATAAATTGGATCAAAGCTACGCAATGTGCAAGTTCAATTTCTAACAAAAATATGGCATTACATGCTTCCGCCACATGTTTATAAACTTACTTATAATCGTCGCCACAATCCCACAACATGAGCTTTTTTAGCTGATGGTATAGGAATATCACATAGAAATCTATGCATATATGATAGTCAAAATAATCCAAATATTATCTTTGTGTTTCGACTTCGAAAGAACTGAGCATATTGCAGCTTACCAACAAAAGTTATGGCACAGAAATTTTTTCAACATCTTTTCGGTGGAGTTTATATTGTTTACTTTAATCTGTCTGACTGCGTTTACAGTGCCATCGTTTATCAGTATTTGAAAATTTCTTATGGCTTCTTACGTCTTGGCATAAATTCCAGTTTTATATTGACGGGTAACATTCTGGTCAAATCCGCGTACGTGATAACTGTATCTTTCCTGACTTCTAGATATCAACGATATGACGGATCATTTAGTGCATTTGGAAAGAGAGATAAGTTCGGTAGTACCTGGTTGACGGCATTTGTCGTAAAATGTTTCATAGCAGCAAAAGAGCTCAACAGTGATTATATTGAGAAATGGCCGCTTGAAAATGCAATTTCATTTCTTCTCAATCAACAAAATGATAACGGAACTTTTAACGAACTGGGGAAATTATTAAACACAAACATGCAGGTTATATACTTATTTATATATATATTTATGGTAATCTCGAAGCAATGATTATATTGAATAACTATAATTGTTATGATCAAATAGATTAGTGAAACTAAACCACCGTTCGAATAAAATTTATTGAAAATGTGACTTTTTGATAATTTTCGAAAAAAACTTTTGTTTCAGGGTGGAGTCAACAGCAAAGACACTTTGTCAGCCTACATATTAATATCTCTGCTAGAAAAAAATTACACAACTGACAAGGTAGTATATTGATACTTTAATGGGTAAACTTTAAAACCACAATGCCGTGCCTTATAGGAATATATTGTTGGACACAGAGTGAACCTATGAATCGTCTTGTTATTATGTTGATGTAGTAAAACTATCGCCTTTCTCCTCAACTACCGGACCAATCTCTTTCGCAGTAGTTGAAGCTTGTTGTTGTCGCTAGAAGAGTATTACTTTTATTTATTTCAAAAATATCTGGGGGCTCTATGGAATTTGTTTTTGTCTTCGAAGTTTCGTGGGATGACGTCATAAAAAAAATATGCATGCCGTGGTTCCGTGATCTCCTGAAGTATGCGCACCAAGATGGCGCACAACCTGTACTCAGGAGTACCAAAGATTTTATACTACTCCGATTTGGCATTTGTGTCCATATATTTGAGCATTGTTCTCTTGTTTAATTGTAAGAATTCTGGTGGATAGAATTTCAAATCTATGGTTTATATTCACAGCATAGCGTACCTCCAACAACTGGTATATCAATCCACAGTAACAGGAGTTTCGAAATGCCTAACAATCCACCTATTTTCGCGATTATCTAAATAAAAGTCTTTTTAATAACATCCCATATTGCACCACATACATTAGCAATTTGAAAAAGGGGTATATATGCTTTGGCACGTCACATTGCATTGTATTTTATGGAAGTATCACTTGAGTTCTGATTTATATCTTGGCTAAAGTCTTGGGATCTTTCTCTAGTATAGTTTAGTTGATATTTGAAATTAAAATCATATACTTTCGCAATATTTGTCTTTATCAATTCAATTCAGTATATAGAAAAAACAATAGAAAAGGCTCGCAAATATTTGGAATCCCGAATCAATTCTGTCAAAGATCTCTACTCTCTTACGATAATGACGTATGCACTCGCTTTGACTGGGAGTGATAAAGCAACAGATATGTTACAAAGTATAGATAAGATGTCTACTGTGAAAGGTAAGGATCAAATTATAGTTAGACTATCGCATCATGCTCTGAAGTGATGTAGGATACGTTGTGAATATGTTATTAAAAGTATTTTGCTAAATAAGGCTTCACGCTAGCATGGTAACTAAAACGGAAAAATGGTAAACTATGTGATCTGCGTACGGTACATATGGCTCAAATTAAAATCTAATAACCGATGATAATCTGTCAGTTTACTTCTTGTAAGACAAGGCGCAATGCTTAAATATATACCACAGTACCAGCAGCAAACGCCAGGAGTTCTCAAACTTTTGGTGTTATATAGTTATTTTGGTTGAAATATGGAGAACGAACCATAAGGAAGGCAATTTTTCGAAACAAAAAATTCAACGAAAACAAGACAAAACAACATCTTTTCAGAAGATCAATTCTTATGGCCATTTCTGCGGAACCATTTTTCTCCTAAATAACACTATAAGCTACCTTGTAACTTCTAATCTGCAGAAAACACAAAATTTTGGGAGAAATCTGTTGTTGGAGTATCAAAGTGTGAGGCTAGAAAAGAACGCTGTCCATTCAGCAATGACAAACCAAGTGCATCCTCTATTGAAATGACCGCTTATATCCTGTTGACGTACGTAAAAATGGGTAGAAAAGACGTAATGCCGATTGTCAGATGGTTAGTGGAACAACGTGGAGCATTCGGCGGATACCAATCAACGCAGGTGATCATTTTTGCAACTCGATATATACATCAAAAAATTCTAAAAATTAATCAATATCAATAATCAATACGTAGAATTCTAGGGTATTTTGGCAGGATAAAATGTAAGCGCCAATTCGCATTTGTTGCAGTGGCGTAGCATCCACCCCCGCGGTCGCGGGGGAGCCACAGCGCAGAGGGGCCCCGAGCGGTTAAAATTTAAAAATTTAAGCCGCAAAACCAAAAGCTGCATTGCAAAACCAGTAATGCACATCTTATAATGTTAATGTTAGTTCTGCTCTAATCGTTTTGTTACTTCACAATGCCGGGGTCGTCGATTTTCGGCGTCGTGTAGTTTGATCGCGACGAAGACTGTCAGAATGATGTCGAAAGCAAAACCTCTCAGTGGCGCACAGAAACGAAGAAAAAGTCCAAAAGAGGTAGAACGTATGAAAAAAATTAAAGTAACCAAGATAAACGAAATATTTAAACCAAAATTGAAACAAGTAGACTTGGGAATACCGAACGTAACTGAGGAGGAATTAGGCCTAGCGCCGGTGGTATCGGTAGAAAACCAGATACGCGTTGAATCTCTAAAAGTGATGGCGCCGGCGCGAATGAATTTTCTTCCAAAACTTACACGACAATTATCACAGGTAAGCTACTGATTTTTGGAGCAAATTCAAAAAAATTGATATGACGAAGATGGTGGATGAGTTTGCTAACGCGAAAGCGCAAATTTTAAGATAACATAGCCTTTTTATAGCGACATGTTATGCTTTTTGACGAAATAAAAAACAACAACGTTGTTTTAGCTTATGTCCGAGAGTTTTTAGGGTCATTTCCACGAAATATTTTGCCGAGGGGGGGGGGGGGGGGGGGCACGAGAGTCTTGCTACGCTACTGATTCGTTGTACAGTGTTGCGAAATAATTGTAATTTCATTTATTTACATCGTATTTTGGAGTTTAAATTCTTATGTTGACAATGTCTCAACACGTTGAAGTAGTACCTTGTCTTGTTTAGGATACCGTTATGGCGATACAGGCCCTAGCAACTGTTGCTGCGTTATTTTCTGAACGAGATATGAATCTTCAGGTGACCGTGAAACACAGTGAAAACAAAGATTTCATGGAAACATTCCAACTGGAGAAGAACAATCAAATAGTGCTTCAATCGACCGAAGTAATTTTTTCAAAGATAACATTGTTTTTCTATAAATGGACAAATAGCATGACACCGTTTACTATACTTCCATAGTTTTTGTCCTATCATCACTGCTCTGTCTTCTTTTTATCGCAAATACTTACAAATTCAAAATTTTCAGTTGCCAGCTATATCTGGAGATGTATTAGTGTCTGCTACTGGACATGGTTTCGCCGACGTTCAACTTACAGTTTGGTATAATCTACCTGTCGGCCCGAAAACAGATGATCCTTTCATTGTTGAAGTCCAAATGAAAGAAAAATATGGAGGCGAGATGATGTCGTTAGTTGCATGCTCGAGGTGAATACCAAAATTTTTTTTTTTTTAAATATTGTTTATTTTTACACGTCTCTTAAATATTAGGGCATTTTTTATATAAATATAAACAGTTTCATGAACTATCCATTAATCATACGAAAAAATCCCATAACGGTAATAAGTAATTGTTAATTGGTCATTATTATTGATTACGATGGTCGATGAACAAAACTCTTATATTTCAGAATCAACGACAAACGCAGAGACGTAGTGAACCGCACTGGAATGTTTGTGATAACAGGAAAACTTCCCAGTGGATACACTGCCAACGAAAAAGAAGCGACGACACAAAATGAAGATACCAAGATTGTTGAACTCGTAGACAATGAAATTACCGGATATTTTGATGAGGTTAGTGCAAATTTTGCTCTGTTTCAATACAGCGTTATCATCTACAAAAAATTCAAAACTTAAAAGGGGAGTTATAAGCGCTGCTCTGGTAGCGTATAAACTTTGATTATTCCCAGAGCTGTGGAGTATTAGCGGTATTATTGCCGGAAATCGTCAAACAACTACTTTTGATGGGAACAAAACCGATCCCAAGTGATGCAAGACAAGAATCTTGCTACACGCTATCACAAATTTATTTTTGTGATGTTTCACTACCAAGGTCAGATTTCCTCAGATATCAATTGCAGTTATTAACAGGACCGTGTCAAACTTTTTTATGCTGTCCAGGGCGAATTTTTGATAATATTTCCCCTTATACCTAACTTCATAACAAATTCGGGGATAAACAAATTATAGATGTTGTTGTACATGAGAATTTGTATTATTGCGCTAAACCATGCAATGACCAGACGAGCACATTGGTGGGAAAGGGCCAAAGCCATTGCTGACTCACTATCACCACAATCAGTGGATTGCATATTCTAATTGTTCTACAGCTTCCAAAAGGGAAAACAATGTGTATGAACTTGAGATTGACACGTTTTGCAGAAGTATCCGGAATTAAACCTCAGTTATTTCAAGCATATGATTACTACGAACCAGGTTTGTAGAATGTGATAATTGTATAATACAGACAAAAATATTATTCCCTAATATCTTCATATTACAGTTTATACTGTCAATCGTTGAAGAGAATTGTGAATTCGATATTTGCGCTCCTCGTTACTCGTTCAAATTCCACGGAGTCTAGAGCCGAAATATTGAACTTTCCGAAGACTCCTCCCAAAGTCAAGAGTTTCACAACAATATGAAAATTTAAATTTAATTTCTGTTGTAAAGTGTATTGTGGCATTTTGATGTGGTAATATGAAGTTTTGCCATGTCGATATTCAAATTTAGACTTTTCTCTTAATATTTAGCCAAAACAACATCATTGCTGTATTCTCTACCAGAAACAGACGAAGGGCGGATATGTGCCTCTTGTGGATCAGATTGTGTTGGATGCCCACGTTAGTATAATTTAAATTAAACTATCAATTGCAATTAAATAAATCATTTTGAATTCATGGTGAGAAAGAAAGCACGTTGGGATGTTATAGTATAGCTTATAATTTTTGTTTAATTTGTCCTTCAAGTGAAACTATACATTCATTTTAGATGTATGTTCTGAAGTTTTTATTGTTTTTCAGCAAAACAAATTACACTGGATTACTGCAAGTATCCTTGTCTCAAAAGTAGGTGACATTTGAGTATTTGAAATCTGAAAGCATTAACTTTCATTTTTTTTTATCAAGTATTCGTTTGCAGAAACTTTTCCAATTATTTTCCAGTTTATAAACGGCGACGTTTTTCAGAAACATAATTTTACAGAAATGACACAACTCACTCAGCATAAAACTGCTTAACTTGAGATAAATATTAACTGAACTAAAGGAATGTCATACCCGAATTACACAATCACACGATTGAAAATTTTAAATTGTATTTGCATGCTACTAATATTTTCGACATATTTGAAATAATTGTAATACTCATTTATGCCAACATTCAAACTGTACTAAAGCTGAAATGAGAGTTGCTTGCATCACTTGCTAATGATCTATTTAAAACCGAAACGGAGTTTTCATGCATAGTGAAATGGAATGAAGAATTTTGAAACAAGCACAGAAAGGAATGTATCAAAAACCCACCGCTGTCAAACGAACCATTTCTATTTACGCAATTTAATTCTCAATACCAATCGAAATCGAATTTCCTAAAGTACATTTGGTCTTTAAAATATTGAACTTGAATAAATGAGTAAATAAGTTAAGTAAACAAATACTACTATTTGGTTTCAGAAATACAAGCAATTGATAATGGATATTGTGACTTCCCTTGTCCAGGTAAGCTTATTTTCTTCTACATGTATTATTAATAATAACTAGTTTAAATGTAGCAGTATTATATATCTTTTGTTATTATGGAAAAATATACTGATATCACTCCAGTATTTCATTTGAAAACATCATTTTTGTCATATTTTTAGATTATACTGACGGTCTTTACTTCGATCCTGGATCGCATATTTACAAACTGATGCAAAAATATTCCAAACATACCAAATGCAGTGTTCCCAATGGTGCAGGAAACTCAGAACTATATATGGGCCCACCAGGTAAAATTTAATTGACTTTTAGATGCCATTACGTCATGAGGAAAACATATAAAAAAACAACTTTGTTTTACATTGCACAGTATACCATGATTAAGTTCAAATTGTAGCTCATTTTCTAACTTTGATGACCCATAAGCGGGAAAGAGAATATTATATATTTACTTAATATCTGAATTTGGTGACAAGACGTTTTCAACACAATATATATGAAAAATGTACACTAAAACGTTACAACATTATCATTATTTTTACAGCCACACTGCTCGATGGTAAAAGCGAATACATTGAATGTTCCTCTTCCAGATATTTGAAGCAAATGCTTTCAAGCAAAAAAGGATTTACAATATCGTTATTGGTGTATCTTAGGGAAAATCCACCATACGCAAAACGCTTTACTTTCTTCACAATCGGAACAAAAAAATCCAGAAAACCTTTTGTGGTGTTTGAAAAACCTCAATGGTTAGTACACGCACTACGAGGTATTTTTATTTTCTATAACTCATTTTCTTTAGAGTAATCCTTGATTTACACCACTTTTGAAAGTATCATGTGTGACGCTAAAAATTTAATTTTAGAGTCAGTGAAAATCTTCATAATACGCTATTTGAAAATTGGCTCTGGCTACAAAAATGTAACTTTTTTTTTTATTTCCAACCGCTGACTACAGATGACCAAATTTTTACTTTCTTGAATGTCCAAGCTAGCTACAAATCAACTAACCAACTTACATTGTCTTAATTGTGAATTTTATTCGACTTACTCACCTTGGAAAGTATTATCTTTTTTCTAGGTCTTCCTATTACTCATTTCGGGTAAACTTGAATGGATTCGAATATACCGTCGACGATATATATTCGTATGGCGAGATTAAACCTAATAAATGGACGATGCTAACAGTAAGATTGAGACAGGCAAAAGCTGAGGTCTTTTTAAACGACAAAAGAAAAGGAAAAAGTTCTAGAAAGTAAATTTGCTATAATGACTAGTTCTAAACTTCTAAAAAAGCGAAATATTCTTTTGGCGTTTATAGTCATTATCTTTAAACTACAAAACCGACATAGTTAATTTCAATGTCCTGACCGGATGTCTCTCGAAAAAAAAACATGAAAAAGGGGAAAGATGAAATATTGGAAGGGAATTATGTCATATGATTTTGTGGAACGGACTTAGTGTCGGCGTTTTTGTTCCCCGGACATGTCTATGTGTGTGGCAATATTGCAATAATGTGATAGTAAGTGAAAGAATCACTGCCTTGAATGATTCCTGAATAACTTTGTAAATATATAAATGATTCAAAATTCATTTTTTAAAAATTGTAGAAGACGAGCTACAAGAAAAATAACATCCGGTTTTACTCTCAAGATAGGACAACCTCTCATTGTGAAAGGCAAGCGACAAGGTAAGCTATTTTAAATTGAAAATGCATTTCTGATGTAAAAGTTATGTTGAGAAAATATGACGCATCGAGCGCGGTTTCCTGACACAAGAAACAAACACTACTCTACCAGATATCTCTTTTGTGATAAAGCGCTTTCGGATTCAGTCGTACTCATTTCAATTTTTAGTGTGATAGGAATCCACAAAAAATGAAGCATTTTTTCAAAAACTTATTGTGAAGCATGTGCTCGTTTCCATACTTTTGTGAAATGGATTGATTTGTACTTTAGGAAACCTCAAAGGACTGGTGTCTTCGCTTCATATTTGGTCTCGTTATTTGAACTACCAACAAATTTTGGATTTCTACTATTATGTCAATCCAATGATGTCAATTCACGATCCTCGACTGAGCAATTCTCGAGTACAAGAGCTTCTCCCTAATACGTTGCGTCAGTGTTTCATGGATTCAAATTATGAGTCATCTGATTTGAAGAAAAGAGCGGGAAGTTTAGCCACATCCTGCGACGATATGAGCGCAATATAATGTTCTAATTTTGTCGCATCTTTAAAACCTGTCAAATTAAATTTTACCAATAGTTATACTTGCTCATGAATCGTCAAATTTGTACCATTGGTCTTTACTAGGTCTTGGACATAAAACATAGACATCGATATTTTGATAATTAATTCTTGTTAAATATGATTTGTGTAATTGATGAATTGAATAAAATATGGTTGAATCAGTCTCTGTAGTTCAATAAGCGCGAAGAGTTAAAGGTTAACTAGCGACGAAATGTTGTTCATTGTGGAAAGTGTAAGCTATATTTATCCGAGAGCCTCAAAATTTCATTCACCAAGTTTCAAAACTAGATAGCGATCGGAGACCACCGACGTATCGATTTTGCGGTTTCGATTTCTTCGCTCTGACTCTACAGCGACAACGCGTGTCTCATCACTAATTAATTAATAACTTGCTAATTATACGACGTAATTCAATAGGCTTCTGGTCCGAGATATGATGAATGCACATGCAAAATTTGGAGCAGATTCAACCTCGCTTTTGTGAGATATCGCGTAACAAGCAGACAAATACCTATCAACATACCTACCGATAGAGGTCGATAAGTAAAAACGATTACATTGAATGTATATATAACATAGATATATGTTTGGCACCAACGTATTAAATTGAAATAACGGAGGTCGATAATAACGCTGGAACAATGAATATTTGCGATGCGGAGAGATGGCGTATGTAGGTCACAGCATATCTCGATTTACAATTCAAATTGTATGGAATTGGATTTTGCCTTTATCATGTAAGGTACTGCAACACATTGTGCTATGCAAAAGTGTTAGAAAAGTTCAGTAAGAACGATTAGCCATATTTAAATGTCACGAATGAAATTGATTAGCACAACACCACACCACGCATCAGTTTGTTAGAGATTGGTAAATAGCCTGGTAAAAAATTGCTAGTGCAGTACGATTCTGAGTTTTTCTGTCACTGACTCAACTGTTACATACCGATACTACTGATATTAATGTAATCGTGAATTTCAATTCCAACTCACTTACAATCCAAACTTAACTTTGAGAATTAAGGTGTAGAGGCAAAAACAACGTTTGAATACACTTGCTGTTAAGTTTAGCTTCTGTTTTAGCCATCCTCGACCCAGGTCAGAAAGAAGATAGTAGCCTATAAGCATACACTGCGTCCCGTTTCAATACTTCAGCCCTTTTCACTAATCAATCTCTGGCGTAGATTGTTATCTGCATCGAGGGGCAACATAAAAATGATAATTATCACCAAACTGGGAAATTGTTAACAAACACATTGACCAACGCAGATATCATTTCAATATAGAAACCGGTGTTTCGGTTTCGAGTAATGGTCAGTAATCAATTGGTCAAGGATATGGATCGATCTTCCGAGTCTGTGACGTCGCAATTTAACGAAAAACCCGTTTTCGACTATTGTGTAACTGTGCCCGTTCCTCAAAGTAAGTCGTACATTGTATCTTCTCTCTTTATGATGCCGAAAGTAGCCTTTGAACAATTTTTGAAAACACGTTTCCACGTTTTTTCTTTCGTTTGGCACAATATAGAAACGAATATTAAGCTTGCTCTCTTGCCAATAAAAGAGTTAACTACGAAACTTCTCCGTGATTGCAGTTATTAGTATGCAGTTGAGAGTTTCTAATATTAAGCGCTTAGTAAAGCGGAAATCTCACAAATCAGAAAATTGATTGAATGTTTCTTTGTTATATTTTATTTTATGCTGCATCTCCTTCGTTTGTTGTTCGTTTCTGTTGTTAAAAATTAACAGGTATCATAGTATGACTAAAATGTTTTGCGCCCCGCTTACTCAGTGGAGACTGATAAAATGGCGATAACAAATAGGTTCGTCACCCCTGATATATACTGTTCCTTTCTGTCTTAACTCTCCCCCTTCTTAACTCAGACAGTGACGATTTGCGATATAATAAGTTGGGTCTCTAAGTTAATGTACTATCGAGCACGGCAGGAGACGGCAACCTCCCCTGGGGGGTACAGCGCAAAGAGGCCCCAAGCGGTTAGAATTTAGAAATTTAAGCCGCCAAACTAAAAGCTGCATTGCAAAACCAGTAAAGCACATCTTATAATGTTGATGTTAGTACTGCTCAAATCGTTTTGTTATGTAACAATGCCAGGGAGTCGTCGATTTGTGGCGTCGTGTGGTTTGATCGTACCGGCACAATTGTGAAGACTGTCAGAATGATGTCGAAAGCAAAACCTTTCAGTGGCGCACAGAAACGCAAAAAAGGGCAGAAGAGGTAGAACGTATGAAAAAAATTAAAGTAACCAAGATAAACGAAATATTCAAACCAAATTTAAACAAGTAGCCTGGGAATACCGAACGTAACTGAGGAGGAATTAGGCCTAGCATCGGTGGTATCGGTAGAAAACTCCGGAAAACCAGATACGTGTTCAATCTCCAAACGTGATGGCGCCGGCGCGAATGAGTTTCTCTCAAAATTTACACGACAATTATCACAGGTAAGCTACTGATTTTCGAAACAAATTTAAAAGGTTGCATAATTTGGTTTTTGAAACTGAAATTAATAAAAAATCATCTCAGGAGCACGATGTCGCAGAAAAGGCTCTCTGGACTGGCGCTGCTGAGTATTGAATCTGAACGCTCCACCCGACTTGATGTGAGGAAGATGGTGGATAAGTTTGCTAATGTGAAAGCGCGAATATTAGGTTACCAATTCAGTGTTAACTCTAAGCGAATTATGAGTGCGAAAGTGCTTCGCAGTCGAAAAAAAAAGTGCGAAAGTGCTTTTGCCGATTTTAACAAGTTAGGTGCTCTAGCCTTTCATATAACCCATTTAAAACGGCATAGATACTCGAAAAAGCGCTCCTCCGGTTAATATTATGAATTAAAGAGAAGCCTTTCCGTTAACCGAGTTCCCTTTAAGCGAATTCATGTTTAATTAAAACAAGCGAATTCATCGGCAACGAAAAGACACTTGCCGCGAACAAAACTTTCATGCAATGTATCACGTGTCAGTTGCTTACTCGCGTGAACAGCAAAGGCTTTCACATTTGTTACTCCTTCCATCTAACAGACAACGATTGATACACGTAGGCTGGAAACCATATTAGTTACAGGGTGGATCATTTGTACAAATCCTGTGCAAAATAATCCCCCCCCCCCCAAATATAAATAGCAATCAACTAATTAGGGTTAGGTGCGCTGGTAATTCAACTTTTCGATTTATCCCTAAACCTAATCTGATAATTAATAATTTGTGATTTTGAACCACTTTGAAAGTCGCCACCTGCTGTTTTAAAAGATAGGTTAACCTACGTTCCCTCCGAAATATTACACAGGATATTCCCCTGTTTTAGGAGATAGGTTGACCTACTTTCCTGTTAAACTTTTTGTTTGTAAAGTTTAGAAACCAACAAACAGAAAATAACTTATCCTAAAACACAATTAAAATTCAGTCGGCAAGAAATTCGTCGCCAAGACGATGCCATACAAAACAAAAAAGATTTGGTCGCGAGAGTTACGTTAGATGACTGCAAAACGACGTTGTTTTTTAAGCAGAATGTAAAACAATCAAATTAAAAAACGGGAGTTACGACACCTTTAACACATCGTGTGTATTAAACTTCCCTGGTAAGTACTATTATTATTGTACTTATACACCTGTTGGAGTATTTCGGACAATTTCGGCTTTAAAATTAATGAAAACCCGACATATAATAAAGACGCAAAAGTAAAATGAACATTTATTGAAAAAGTTATTATTTAAGAAAGACAACATGATCGTACAATTCCGCCCAAACCTCGATGTTCGCAAGTGAGATGATAAATAAATATTTCCCTGTATTCGATCAATCAACTTTAGCGTATCGTTGTTCTGCCAACAAACAGCCGGGTGCAAAATATTTCCGTCCTGTGATATGCTCACAAATATTCTCGATATTAATATCATACCCTCGCGTATGTACTTTCTATTAGCTCTTTAGTGATCCCTTCCATCCATGGCCAAGTCATGTTTCGAATATGTGAACATTTTATTCGACCATACATGGCCGGCGGGATGTTAAAATTGTAAACAAGAGAGAGGTAAAATCAATCGCGAATTTCGTTATAACGGCTCGTTTACGAATTGTTGCGCCTGTTATCGTCGAAAATGATTACATTTGTTGTATTTTGAGGCAAGCAGTAATAATTAGGGCATGACATCATCAAAATCGTCAAGTGAGATCTTGAAATTGCAAATTCCGTAAATAAAATTGTGAATTACTCGGTAACGAATTCAGCTTCAATGACCGTCAGGGTATTGTTTTGTTGAAAATTATAATTAATGTGAGAGCGCCAAAAACATACAGTCCATACCGATGCGACTGCAATTTATATGGCCGCACTTGGTGTGGCGCGTTTATTAATAGTGTTAAATAAATTAAACGAATATCAATTATAACCAAGCCTGTCAGCGTGTTTATTTTCTGTGGGCAAGAATCGTAAAATACCATCTTGAGACAAATTCACTTCTATTATAAAATCTAAATTTTCAGTTATTATCGTTATACAAATAACGTGTGGCAACTTTTTAATTTATCGGCGACCAAAAAACCGCCCCACACTCGTCCAAACGTGTGTCAAGCTTGACCGACAGGAACAGATTCATCGACGACTTTAATTAGGGAAAATATGTATTTTGTTGGGAATGCAAAATAAATGTAACAAAACGCATTTTTTTGTGATATAACTTTGTATTTTTTAACTTTAACTTTTTTGTTTTATCTATCGTCTAACTAACGTCTGGTACACATTTTCGGGGAGAACTCTAGCCCGCGAAACGTCATTTAATTTAAAATAGTGAATGTTCCACGCATTTCAAAACGGAAAATCACCAGTAAGTCGACAGGGATTCAACCCTCCGGATTCAGTATTCTATATCCCTCCGTGTCAGAAATTTCTGAAGATTGGAACAAAGAACCCGTCAAACCGCCGCGGAAGAAGGGGAGTATTTTTTTCACTAATAATTAGGGCGTGACATTATCAATATCGTCAAGAAACTGGTGAATTTTCAAATTCCATAAATAAAATTGTGAATTGCTCGGTAACATTTTAGCTATAATTATCGCCGGGGTATTGTTTTGTTGAAAACATGTTGAAACTTGAGGGAATTAGTTACAATTAGCGCCTGACCTCTATTAGGCACTCGAGCACTCGAAAAAAAAGCACTCGAGTCCAATCTTTTTAGCATTAAGTCGCATACGTAAAATATCCTGTAAAAGAAGTGCTGTTCATTAACGTCATCTCGTATTATGACCACGCAGAAATGCCTTTATTGCCGAATTATTCAATCACTATTTTAAATCAACATTCAGGATTGGCACAATTTCAGATTTGCGAAGTTTATCACCATAGAAAAACATGAGAAAGTTAATTATCGTCTTAATAAATATCAGCATCACGGTATCGACAATATTATTACCATTCGCATAAAATTGGGACCGTAAATTTACAAATCTTGATAGGTAATATTAAAGCCAACGCAAATGTTAATTTGAGTCCTCAATGTCTTCAACAGCTGTTGCCGATGTGAACAAACGGGTAAACCCGAAATATAAAACTTCGATGTCTGCCAACCCGCAAGAATTCATATTTGTAAAAAAGAGAGGGCGGGAATATAGATTAACAAAACCTGGATATCGCCGCCAAAACGATTGGTGATAAGAACAATTAGCGATTACAACGGAGTTAACCAGTAAAAAGGCTTTGTCGCCGATTTTTTAATGTTTTAATGTTTCCACCGACGTTCCAAAATATTTGTTATTCGGTACTCGTTAAAAATATTCAATTCAATAAAATATTAAATTTTGCCCACCCGTACTCGCATATCAATGAGAAATAGTTGTGTAAATATCGCAAAATGCCACGTGCTTTCAACATTGTGATTACAATAAAATGGCACTTGATGGTATTTTGTGATTTTGCAAATCTGTGACATGCTGCTAAAAGTTTCGTCTGATTTGAAAATCGTGCACTTTGGTTACAATACACCCAAAGTGACAATAACACTTTTATAGTCATTTTGAATTCAACGATATTATTGATAGTCACATGACCACTTTCGTCCAAATAAAGGCACTGCGTAGTATTCCAACATCTGGTTTCAAAGACGCGGAGCGTTTTTGCGGGAGAAGCGGAATCGGTGTGCTCGGGCACGAGAGTCTTGCTACGCCACTGGTTTACATATTCACCTTCGCCGGATCAATTTCAATAAAGCTACATTTCATTACATGAAATGGATATAATTGACTTGTATAACAAAGCATAATATGATGTGTATGCATCAAGTACTGACATACCTTAGGTAACTCCAACAATGGGGAGCATAGGTCATCCATTTACTAACTACATCCTATCATATATGATAACACCTTGCTTATAATATAATTATTCGTACTTGACATTAATCAATTCATTCAAAAATGTTCACCGACCTAAATTCCTTTCAATAACAAAAACATGAAATATATCAGTTTCCATCATTTTGGAAAAGCTTAAAATGAATAAATGAGATTGGAAGGGTGGGAATTCAAAATTTTCTAAAGATCAATTTCCATTTTTATTTTGATTATACGACTTTCTTGATTCTATTTTTTATACATTTTCTAATTCATGTTTGATACGAATTAAAACTAATTTCCTTAGCAGCGGTTTCCCCCAGTAACTTCGATGCACGCGCCGTTGACGTATGAACTTTCATCTGATGCTAGAAATAAACAAACATTCGCTACTTCCTCAGGTTTACCGAGTCTTTGCATTGGATTTTGCTTGATAGCATTCTCAGTTCTGTCAACGCCACCAAGCATAGGGGTGTCAATCATATCTGGCAATACGGCATTGAATCGAACTTTTTGTTTTTGGAACTCTAATGCCATGGTCTTCGTCAAACCTATAACTCCAAATTTGGAGGCTGAGTATGGCGATGATACCACGCTTGCTCGAATACCTGCAAGGCTTGACAGATTCACCACGATACCTCTAGTTTCCTCTTCCACACCTGAGTTTTCCAGTGAAGCCACAAACTTTTGAGACATAAGATACGTGCCTCTCAAATTCACTTTGATGACTTCATCAAATTCTTTAATAGTAGTTCCTTTCAATATTCCAGCACAATTAACAAGAATAGTTATTTGTTTGTCGAGATTGTGTTGGGCGGTTTTGAAAGCTTGTTCTACTTGTTCAGGAGAAGATACATCAGCTTTGACTGCACAATGTTTATTATTTTGATCGCTTTGCAGTAGTTTTATAGTTTCTTTTATCCCGTCTTCATCTATGTCAAGAACAGCAACACTGGCTCCTTCTTTTGCAAAAACTTGACAAACTGCTCGTCCGATTCCTCTGCCACCACCTGTCACGAGAGCTGCTTTCCCAGCCAGTCGTCCCGATGACATTTTATTGTATCTAGTTATTTCACCACACTTGCTTTTGAGAAGATATTGTTACTGGAATCAGCGTATTCAATTGTATTGCTCAATAGTTCTAGTTATTTTTATGACAAGTGTCCAAATTAAAGTCATAAATGGCTTTATGACTCACAAGTCAACTCAGTGCCGACTCTTGTGATGGATGTATGGCAATAGAATAAAACAAGCTAAACCAGTGTCTCGTTACTTACCGAAAAGGGAAAAAATATCGAAAGGAAACGCAGTCTATAGATAGACATTTGGCCTATTCTAACCCCTTTCCAACATAAATAGACAGACAATGGGGTAGACATAAAATATATATTTTATAATCTTTGTTAGGACCAGCACAGAGGTTATTAAGCTTAGACTACTTTTCGTTTCGCTCATTTCTATACTTACCACAGCCATCAAAATAATCATTGTCTTTGCATGCGACTTAACCTTGACTTTCAAACTAAAATTTACAAACTTTGTGAAAGAGTTAGGATCAATATTGACGAATATACTATGTCAGATCTATCAGCATGTCAGTAGCAGCAAAACCACAAGCCTACTATACTAGCAATCTGCTGCACTCTGCTTTTTTGTCGACCTCTAAACAAATTGATGCGTCGTGTTGTGCCAATCCAATTATGTTTATGGAAATCATCCAACTAAATAAGACCAATTCGTATTTACTGACCTATTCTAACTCTTTCCATATAGCACAATGTTATGCAGTAACAAGCCAAAGGCAAGATGTAATTCGATACTATTTCGTTTGTAAACGCAGTCTCATCGCATCGCAAATATTGATTGTTTGATCTGTCACAAACTGTTGGCGCCTGAGGGATATGCACCACTGAACTATAAATATATGGAACGATCTTCTCTCTCGTTTTGCGTTGTCTCAGCGCGGGATCATTTATTCGCCGCCATTTTGGCATTTATGCTTCCAAACTTTCTTCGTGCTGCATCTTGTTTTGGCTTGTTTTCGTCTATTTTAGTACCTAGTGATCGGCATATAGATGCAAAAACGTTATAAAGGGAAGGGCTGTCGAAGTGATTGCGAAGGAGATGTTGATGGCGAAAATGAATATATCAAAGGTCTTTTATTACGTAAGAAAAATTGTCTAGCAGTACCGTATGTTTAACAATATCAGTATTTATGGGCCTGTCAGTGTGGTGTTGGACAGTTTTCGACCTTGGCTGTTCAGATTTAAGTATTAAGTTTTCCATAATCAATATTCATATTCAAAATATAGATCGAAGGCTATTTAAACTACAGGCAAGAGATTATTAGCAGATTGCATAGCATGTAAGCTCATTCATTTCAAATATATCTTTGTGGTCAACGACGTGTGAAGTAATGAGGGTTTGACATAATATTTCGTGATGACTGGATGCTGGATCAACTCGACAATTCATATTTTTTCTTCCATATGGAACATCATTGACTTTCACTGTATATTTTCTGTGTGGTAGTTATTCAATGATTATTCTTGTCTTTTTTCACTTTGATATCATTCAAAGAGTCTGTTGTGTGGGCCGAATTTTCTGACGAGAACATGTTTAGAAAGTATAACCTCTTCTTCATATTTTTAAGCAGCTTTTGGGGAACTATTTCAAAACTAGTCTAGCAAACTAATCGCTTTAGGAAATTTTTTGAGCAATCATACCGCATAAGTAGAACATAAGTTTATGCCAGTGTTTTCCAACCCGAGTCCGCGGTCTCAAATGAGTCCGCAGAGCATTTGAATGAGTCCACAACGAGCAAGAATTTAACTGCGGGCCGCGAACGTTTTTGCGAAACTTAACTATCAGCCAAGTTACGATTTACGTTAGAATTGACATAAAAAATATAAAGCAAAGCAAAATATAAAGCAAGCAATTCATATAACATTAATCGAGTTAATAATTACTGGTTACTGAGTAGGGATGGACATATGTTCGAATATTCAACTATTAGAATAGAAATTTACTTTTCGAAAATATGGTCACTTGCGCGTCGCTCAATCAAACGATGGGACTCACTTGCGGATTTCCGACGAAAACACGAGTGAGTCTGCACACGTGTCGATAGATGGTGTTTTTCGTGAGTTCAAACATCCAGGAATAATTTTTTTTTTGGTAGGTGTCAATTGTGGCAACCCAAATTTTCTCAATTGAAAAGCGGCAATACAAAATACTAAAAAAACGGGGAACACCATAAGTTTTTTCGCTTAGGATTATTTGCTTTACTACCTCCACATTGGTTAGTACAGTACCCGCCGTAGGTACGAACAGCTCAGATTTGTCGAATTAACAAAAATAAAAACAAAATATAATGGGGCAATTTGCCACGCATTTTTATGTCCACGGATTGTCATGATATTTTCTGAGAGTAGTGCTTTTATTTCGTCCAGACAAACCGCAGATTAAAAAGATCACATAAAATTAATAATAAAGCCAGGCGATGAATATGTATTTTTGATTTACTAATATACGTTAAATATATTCTTAATAAGTACTAAATCAAGTACTTTCTGGAAATTTATAGCAGATAGTAGGATTTTTCTAACGGCGATAACAAATTCGCAAGATCGTAAAATAATATGTATCAAAACTAAATATAATCGGGCAATATATTCTCACATTATTATGTTCGCAGATTGCCGTGGCATTTTGAAGAAGTAATGCTTTCATCTTGTCGTAACCCGTCGTCTCAACCGCGAGTTACCATGAACACAATTAAAATAAAATGGAAAGACATTTTAAATTCTCGTCGTTGTCATGGATTGAAAATTGTGCGACAGAAAAGGCCATTATACACTGAAACAGTCGACTCTTAACGAACGCGTGATTGCAGCGAATTTCCGATTTTGAAATTTGTTAAATTTCTGTTGTGTTTGGTTTTATTGCTTCTTCACACAGAGTACGGTTGCAATGAACGCACCTTGAGTCCGCAAAGGTTTTTGCCGTTGAGAAAATAGTCCGCGACCAAAAAAGGTTGGGAAACGCTGGTTTATGCTATTGACACCGTTATTCCAGTGTTGCCAACTTGGATTATTTTAATCTAGATTTAGATTATTTTTGTGTGATTTAGATGTAAGAAATACCCATTTAGATGTTGGATTATTTTCTGGATTATTTCAGCGTCCATTTAGATTATTTTTTACAAATGTTATTTTGCATTGTTTTCTAGTGGCAAAGAAGTTCACCAGTACCTAACATTTGTAGATATAGATTAAAATACAGAAAAGTTTTCCAATCGAAGTTAGGGTAATAGTGCTCAAAACAACAGCGGAGGTTCGCCAAAATATTGGCAATTATTATTAGGCTATTCTATCCAATTAAAGAGTCCAGCTGCACACTAACACAAACGTATTCCTGTAACGTTGAAACTGCTTGTCTAAGGAAGTCTGACTCTGGTCGGACGAAACGTTACAGAAATACATTTGCGTTAGTGTGCAGCTGGACTCTTTAATTGGATAGAATAGTCATGTTTATTCCAGCTACAGTATACGCATACGGATCCACTAGCATAAAGGCATAGAGAAAAGATAGGAAGTTAGTCTCGCGCAACCAAACTCAAATTTATTTTTATTATTAGGCTATTGCTCTAAAAGTAGCGTGAACTGAACGCTGTTGTTATGCTAAAATCTGAAGTCAGGAAATACTGTCAGACTGTTGTTCACTAATTCTACTCCTATACTGCTATAAGAATGTTTAAAGAAACAAGTGCAGAAGTGGCAAACGATATGACCAGAAATTTTAAAAATAGTGGCTAAAGGATGACTTGCTGAAAGAGTGGTTAGCGCCCATGGCTGCTTATGAATCTAAGTCATTCTGCCAGTTCTATAAATACGGAGTCAAAGCAAAATATCAATATTTGAAGCAGCATACTGAGAACCAGAAACATTTTAAAGCTTGTCCATTCATTACCAGGACTCTTGATTCATCTATGACTCTTAAAAACTCCGAAACAGCAGAGCTGGAAGCGTCTATTTCCACATTTTTATGTTGTCACTCAGCTATTTCTAACTGCAGAATTGTGGCCATTTAGTTGATTTATGTAAAAGAAATTTCCCTACAAACAAAACAATGTCCGAAATGAAAATGCACCGAACTAAATACAGAAATGTACCCTTATCATACTGTCATGGGAAATACGGTACTCAGTGTGAGCTTTTAAAACAGACCTAAGATATGGTCTCTATATTGTCAGAGCCACCAAGTTTTTACGTAATAAGGTTTCTAAAGTCAGTAAAATAGTTGGTTAACCCGTTGACTTATATATTTTATAAACGATGCGATAAACAAGTTTCAAATCGTATTTTCGAATATTAGAGCGTATGATACGTTTCTGATCAGGTAAGTGTTTACTTCTCCCTATTACTAATTCTAACCGGAGATTTCGCCCGAGTTTCAAAAAAAGACCTATAAGCTGAAACTATGACGCTAAAAATGATAACTACGAAATATTGTGTACTTAGCGATTCATAAATAGAAAATGATTCCGAATTGAAAGTTACTAAAATTACAAATGTTGTCAAGAATAAAAGCAAATTGTGTAGTGCAACATAGCAATATTTCACTGTTTACAGCAGGGGTTCCCAAGCCGCGGTCCAATTAAGGCTCGCGAGACGATTTAAAATGGCCCGTCGAACATTAGTGAAACTATATCGTGAATAAATACTAATACGTTTAACAAATTAAATGTGTTCATCTTTTTGCGTCGTAGTCCTAGATGCCGCCAATTGTTACGTCATTTCAAGCACGTGTATATTCGTAAAAATTCAATTATACCGGTATCCTGTGTATACGTACCGGTATTAGGGTTACGTACGGCAGTATTTTAGTTATCAGCTCTATATTGAGAAAGCTTAAAGATGTCACAGAAACGAAAACTAAACACTAAAAACAGACGTTTTTTGGATGAATAGCAGCGTTCTTATTTCTTTATTGGAAAGAATCAAACTTCAGCGATTTGTCCTCCTTGCCAAAAACTATTCCAGTTCTGAAGGAATACAACATCAAGCGCCATTATGAGACGGAGCATACTTCAAATTATGATCAGTTGACGCGCGTATTTAAAGATTCAAGTCATTGCTAAATTCATACAAAAATCAAATGAACATGTTTAAATAAATGTCAAATGGTAGTGAATCCAAGTTATTGGCCAGTTATATTAAAGCCTACAACATCGCTAAAAAGAATCGTCCGTTTGTTGAAGGAGAATTTTTACGCGAATGCAAGTAGATGTCATTTCAAACAAAATGTAGCAGAACAAACCATGATTCGCTATCTGGGGTCATCTCGTACAGCCTCTGCATGTGTCAGTGAATAATATTGGTAGTTCAGCTGCCTAAGCCATACTCACCAGAGATAACAGTGTTATAAAAACTTCAACTCCAAACTTAATTAAATATCAGACCTTGGGTGTCGCTGCTTAATAATCAGTTCCCCGCGACTTCGCTTCCCAGTGAAAATGTGTGTAAATTTTACGTTTTTCATAATTTCGTTTGTTATTTTTACTGGATTGAAAAAATAAACTTGACTATGATATGAGTAGCCATTTATACGGAGTCGTATTCCAGATGTGCAAGTAACTTCATTAGTCGCAATCAGTTGCAAATCCTTGTTGAAAGTCGTGCTCGTTATTCCTCGGGTATTCTATCATCTAACTATTATACTCTATGATTTTATTACATAACAAACTGCGATACTGCGTGTATCTAGAATCAATCTTGCGGCCTATTTTGGTGCTTTTTTTCAAAATTTTCTCAGTGCGCTCAAGCGCGCCCTGAACCCCGGCCGTTACGTCGCGCTCTTTTGGTCACTCCCCTTTACTGGCCCGCGAGTATCCTCGCCTTGAAGTTTTGGCCCGCGGCCAAATAGGTTTGGGAACCCCTGGTTTACAGCATTGGCCAACACATGAGAGCTTACGGGGCCAAATACAAGGATTTTGCTTCATTTTGTTTAATTTTGATCAAGATCGTACAACATTTCCTATAATGCATTTTTTTTCTTGATTGCCATAATGCTACTTCAATACCTTTAGAATACATATTCTAGAACAGGGATGGCGAACCACTGACCCGCGGGTCACAAAGTGACCCACCGCGTTTTATTCGTGACCCGCCAAGGCACGAATAAAATAAAAATGCTAACATATCGATTATGAAAATTAATAAAACTGGCCTTAAATTAATCTAACAATAACTAAGCTTGGGCAGTCAGGGCCGCGATCGCTCATATTCAAATTGCTAATTTCTAAACCGGTATGATAATTTTCAAATCCCTCAATGTTGGACGTATGTCTGCACCGCTGTGTACCGTTATTCAGCTATTGGCTCTGACATCGTTTATGACATAACAATTGATCTGTTCATTTCTCGTAACGTCTTGTCTCTTCCGGAAGTGCATCTGCAGACTGTTTTAGGGGTTTTACGAGAACTAGATGCTACTTTGCATTTTAGTTTTTCATTTAGTTTCCCGGCTACAATGCCATTGAAAAAACAAAAGCTTTCAGACTTGAAATAAAAACCTAGCGAACTGAAATAACAATGGGCCAGTGTAAAAGTGCCTCAACGGGGTTTAAAGCTGACCGAACGCGTTGGAACCGTAAGATAATTTGCCGCATCAGCCTAGACGCATTTAGTAACCTGTATGCGTGTTTTCGTACTCTAATTTCATAAAATCGAGTGCCATGAAAATCCCTGATACACCAACTAGGCTTATAAGGTTTCAGAAGTTTCTTATAGTTACAAACATTGAATAAATATCTGTGACCCACTCTCTTCTGTTCCGCGATAAAAATATCATTTGTGACCCATTTATTGAAAAAGGTTCGCCATCCCTGTTCTAGAATATGCTCAAATTTTTCTATTTTTGGCATCTTAGTTTTGACTTTCAAGACAATTTGTGATTGAGTTTTTTTCTTGCTTTGTATAGGTTTTCCAATATGTTCAATATTTATAAGTTCGAAGATAATAAGTTTATCTAACTGTTTTTAGTTCAGAAATGCTGAAATTTGTACCAACTGTTGTTGATTATTTGCTCTTCGCGGGCGATAGCACTGCTGGTCAAAAGTGAGTATTGTCGGATCAGACCTGTTGTTAGCATGTTCTGCTCTAGTCGGGTTACAAAGTTCTCAATAATTAGGCCTGATTACATGTCCATCGCAACCAGTCCAGTGAACCGGTTCGATTCGGAAATGTCAAAGTAGTCTCGGAGACCACTTAGCGCCCCCGATTACATGTCCAAACTAACAAGATCAGAACAGTTTTAGATCTGCCGGACTAAAGCAAATGAGTCGTGGTTTGCAAACACTGCATATAATTTATTTTCAATAAATCCATAAATTCAATACAAATGTTAATTAATTAAAGTATCAAAATTATATGCACGTTCTTGATTGAAGTTCTGTGAAGTTATTTGCAGAATATGATGAGGTGTTGCTTTCCCATTGAAATTTGCCCATAATCTAAGAACAAAACGTCAAATTAATTAAAGGCATAAAAGGTAGACGAGTTAGATCATTTTGGCCGTCCATTCAGCGTTCAACGGCACCTTATGTCACACGATACATTAACAAAATAATACGGTAGGCCTACAGTTACCACCAGTAGTCTACTGGGAACCAAATTTAAACATATACAGTTTATCAATCGAACACTTTGTGTGAAGTGGGCTCATCATATGTCAATAGAAGCACTTTCATTATTTAATATCGCCCTACTACTGCAACGTTACCGACACTGAAGCATTGAATTTGTACCGGTATGTACAGTTAGGGTACCGTTGCCAGCTAGGATGAGGTATGGTGAAATTTCATAACATTTCTCAATGCAAACTGAAGTTTATCAACATATGTCGTATTGCGCTCAGCTCCTACCAATGATCTTTAGACATTAAAACTTAATTCTCTATTTCAAAACAACAACCCAGCATGCCGCACCGGGATCCCACCAGTACAATTCAATTCAAATTCGTTTATTACTCCAGACCGCTGTGGTCCATATAAAAACAACACAACAAATAAACATAAGCAAAACAAAAATAACGCAATATATACATAAAATACCTGATATGACAATCAGATTCACAGTAAGTCTCAAAAAGAGTTATAATATAGCAATTTAAGAGACCAGAAGTGAAGTATAGAATCTAAGATAGCCCGTAACAAACAGTATCTGGGAATCAAATAATGATTGTAATATAAAATGTTATTGGAGTTCCTGCATCTCGTCATGAACAACCACAGATTTTTTCTGTGGAGTGCTTCGAAAGAGGGAATGTTCCCAGATACCATTTTGTGACAGACACTCTCAGATCTAGAGACACAGTGAATTACGCGATAAGCATTATTATATGAAATTTTAACTTTTTTTATATTTATAAATATTGAAAAACAACTAGCGCTGGCAGTTATAAATGCTACAACAATACGTCTCAAATAAAAGATTTTTCACAGTAGTGGAACAATTGACGAAATTTTTCAAAATTATATGGGCTATAAAATAAATTGATTTATACTGACGTTTCAAGCCAAGGTCATCTCTAAGATCACTGGATAGAAAAACACCAAGATATTTAGTGGACGAAACATAAGTCAATACAGAATTACAAAGTTTGATATCAGGCAAGGTACCGGTATTTCAAATTTGGGTTCAACAGCGACGCAATAGATGCGGAAGTAGTTTAAATTAAACTTGCACTATCTAGCTAAATTTTTATTTGTTGAAAAACTCTACTCACTTACCAGAGATGAAAAGGAAAACAACTTTCATACCCCTTCGATCAACGTACGTAACTGCGATTTCTCGAGGAGCAGGATGAAGCAACTGAGCAAGACCAGTGCAGATAACTTTGAGACCTCCTCGATAAGGTGGTCTGATGTTGTTGACCGATAGCACGGATTTGAATCGCAGGCGAACCACTGAAGCGTGAAATAGTTCCCATATGTGGTCTGCTGGACCGGTCCCAGTGGACATGTAAGCAGGCCTTATAATCAGAATGTGATGGTTAACAACTCACCACACGCACAAAATGCAATTTACAGCAGAAAAAGTCAAACAGCATAATGTGTACAAAAAAGGTTTATAGTACTAGAACTGTGGTGGTGGTCAATAATTTTTCTTCCTCTTGCTCGTACACGCAAAGCCTGAACGATAATAATTGATAAGAAAAACTTCAGAAAGTCATTTCAACAAAGCAAATATTATCCATGCTAATAACATCGAATTCATCCTTTGTTATAAAATGAATACTTTTCACTATGTAATATATATAAAACACTGTAATGAAACGTTATGCCAATAACACAATTGTGCGTCTAAAAACGGTAAACATCAATATAACTAATTAATATGTAAATTACATTTTCATTCTCTATTTCCATTTTAACAAAAAGTTTCGTTCGCTTCAATCCCTCAATACGACCTCTACAAAGGATGGACACAATGCAGATCTAATACCTCCCAGGCTAGATCTATTCATGCAAGCAGGATTGCAATTGAACGTCGAACTATTTCCATGAAAATCGAGGTCTTGTGGCATTGAACATGAATTTCTCTTGGGTTACTCATTTACCTTCCAACGTTTCAATGGATTCTGACAATCTTGAACAAAGTTCCTCATGATCGCAATTCACCGATATTTCGTCTAAAACCGAGAAAAAATCACCTGAACGTGTAATAAACGCCGCATTGGGGTTAACAAAATTCCATGCTTATTAATGTCGAATATCCGAAACAAAGTTGATCAATGCAAAATATATTAGTTACCGAAGTAAAAAATTAGAGTTGTCAAAGATAGAAACAGTAGGTTTGGGAGATATCTCTGAAGATAATGACATTTTCACAGATGTTGTCATAGCACCGATTTGACTTGAATCTTTGTCAATGCGATCTGTCGCATTTTCTACACAAGCGTAAGTCTTTAGCGAAAAAAGTTATTACTCAAAATTATTTATCATAAGGTTCAATTATTTTTTACATTATACATATATGTGCGTTGCGCCAGATTGAAAAAAATATTTATTTACAACTATACCTCGTCTGATATATATAATTCCTGGCGAAGGAGAAAAGTTATATTTTTCTATTTCTTTCCCCAAGGGCTCTATCGTATCCTTATGAGACTTTTCAGAATTTCGACAACATGTGTTCGTTTTTTTTCAGGTATTTGACAATGTATTTCATCTTTTTTGATATCGCTACCGATTTCGTTAGATGAAACATTCCCTGCCTCGCTCTTTGTAACTGAAAAGACTCCACGGTCACGAACTTTAATATTTTCAACTGCGCTTTCCCATTGAGGTTTTTCTAAACTCTCTGACTGCGGACCATGCAGATTTTAGAATTTTCCCTGTAAAGAGAAAAAATTGAATGGCTTTCAATAAAAAAACTGCAGAAAAATATACCTCAAATAAGTAATACACTACTATAAATAGCAAGTTACATGCGTACCCAAATTGCTTGGGTGTTAATTATTCCTTTAATTAATAAATTCGGTTTCGGCACAGAATTTAAACTGCATAAAGTCGATTTGAACATACCTCTATTGAGAACTGTTGTTGTGGTTAGTTTTGTTGAAGGCAGCCAATCCTCGTTGATTCAGCTAACCTTCCTTAGCTATTGACTGCTCTGTCTGGCTCCGAAGCATTAAAGCGATCTATGAGGGCCTGAACTGTCCAGATCGAATAATCATTTGGACAAAAATCCAGTTTTATTTTTTTCGTGGGGTCAACAATGGAATTATTCGAAAACCATTGGACGTTGGATAAGGCGACGTATTCACAGTGACAAATTGTCACATGAGGATTTGTTGCTCATCGTTTGGGTGGGGTACTGGTAAAATAGTAGACTAATCTTGTGTGCTAGTATAAATAATAGCTGCAAAAAAATAATATTTGAATCTTCTGCTAATGTTGGTATCAACGAAGTTTATACTTTTGAGCCCAGTCTACAGTTTTATTTTACTTCTATTAACTATTTAGTTGAGGTAAATACCAGCACTCCTTGCACCTTTCGAATTTGATCTTCCAGATAAAGTTAGGACTGAGAAATGAGGAAGCTTCTCGTAGCAACAGCCGTTGTCAAGAATCTTCTGTGGATCTGTATCGTCACAATGTCGATGTCGTGATGTATTGAATGGAGACATTTTTGTTGTATCCGAAAAAAAAACTATTACTAGCTTTCGCTCTATTATTAGGCTCAAAGTAACCATATTGATCCATTTGCTGAACTGTTGTGTTTATTGGACACGAAGTGGCTGAATGGATCGTGTTGCTTGATGAAATCCACCAGGTTTGGGTACATATCGACCAAGGTGGTATAACATGATGATTTACGTCGAGTTCTCATGAATTTGTATACAACTGCAGAATTTAAGTAAAAGTTTGTATTTCATATAACTCGAATGGCTAAACCAGGCCTGCACAACTCGATGCAGTACAAGGGCCATAACAGCACAGAAAATCTTGTCGCGGGCCGCATGCTATCGCTGTTGTAACTACTACTGTTCCGGTGTAACGTCTTATGGTCGTGGAATAAGTAAAAAAACGTTACCTCTTAACCAGCATACTAAAAACATCTAATTGTTGTTTCTAGTATTTTTTGGCAGGAAAAACTGATTAATTGCCTTGTTTCATGAATCTTTTATTAGGGCTTGTAACCGCTTTCTTTTAGAAATAGTAACTTTCTCAAGGCAGGGACAAATCATCGGAAGTTATCAAAATGTAAGATACATTGCAAGCATTGACAATAAATCAACAATAAACACAAAATATCACAAAATAAAGTTTAATGTGAAATGTTACACCTCTTGTTTGCAACAAGCTCAGCATAATCCGGCACGATACTGGAACAAGATATTTTTAATATATCTTCCAGATGTCCATCAGTAATAGAGGAACGTTGTTTGTTTTTGTTGAAGTTCATAACTGAGAACGTTTGTTCACATATATAAGCGCTCCCAAATAAGCTGAAAATTTGCTTTGCCAAAGTAAGTAAATTTTTGAAGCTTTCTTTGTTCAAGCACTTGTAAAAGTCTTGCAACCTGCTTTCTGCATGTTTACTTTTGTATGCAGATGAAGCCTGCAAATCGATAAGTTCCATTTGTAAACGTGGAGGTGCTTCTGCTGGATCGATTGAAAAAGGGTTTTCAATAATTTTTAGATGTAGTTCTTCTCCACTGGAAAGACTGAGTCTGTTGTTAAATTCTTCATTGAGGAGTTCGATGTGTTCAGCGTATTTGATTCCTGCTGCTAATTGTCTCTCTGGCGAAATATGCTGTGAGCAGATAGGAAAATGTATCAACATTCCTTTTAAAAATTGACTTTTGAAAAGTCTTAACTTTGCTTTGAAACTGATTACCGCAGCAAGAAAATCGAAGATCAGTTTTCTTTTTCCTTGAAGCTGGATATTCAGGTCGTTTAAATGTGAAGTAATGTCGCCAAGAAAAAATAAATCTTCATTCCAAGAAGAGTCGTTTAACTCGGAAAATACTTTGTACTCTGTTTTCAAAAATGTTGTTATCTCAGTTTTCAGAGAAATGAACCGTTTTAGCACATTTGCGCGACCTAGCCATCTTACGTCGGTATGATACACTACGTCGCCATATTCTGCATCAACTTCTTCCAGAAATAATTTGAATAAGCGGTGTTTTAGTTTTCTAGTTCGGAGATAGTTAACAATCGAAACAACGACCGACATCACATGATCAAATTCTAAAACCTTGCTGCATAAAACTTGCTGATGTATAATACAGTGGTGAGTGATAACCGTTCTTCAAATGTGAGCCTGTAGCAGTGCGGTGGCTCCATTTCTTTTTCCGCACATAGCTGGAGCACCGTCTGTGCACAATCCAACCAATTTTTTAAAATCACTGGATAGCTTTTTGGTAACACAATCTATAATAGCGCTGCAGATGTCTTTTCCAGTAGTACGACCTTGCATAGACTGCATACCAGCAAGCTCCTCAAATGCGTCAAAGTTATCGTCAATACCTCTTACAAACACTAAAAGCTGTGCTGTAGCATCTGTACTTTCATCAATAGCCGAAGAATAATAAAAAAATTCCATTGCTTTGTGGCCCAACTGTTGAGTTATATTCTTCGAAATATCTTCAATTCTTCGTTGTACGGTCGTGCGTGAAAGGCTCACGTTTTGAAACTTTTTAATCTCACTAGGGCAGATTAAAGAAACTGCACTTAACATGCATTTCTTAATGAAGTCTCCTTCAGTAAATTTCTCTCGAAATTTCGAAGCTAACTCTGGTAGCAGTAGTACCAGTGGCGGCGCGGCAATAGGGCCAACCGGGGCAATGCCCCGGTTGTTTTTTCGGTATAATAAAAAATATTCGAAAAATACCTCAATATCGGTTGCACAGACTGTCTACACTAGCCATATTCTCCCGACATGGTTCATTTTTCGCTCGCAAAGCCTTCGCCGAACGTCGACGGGGCGACGCCGATTTTGCCCCGGTTGCTCATTGTATATCGTATTCTCTCTTTTATCTTCCACTCGCCGCGTTTGTCTCGTTTGTTTTCTGTTTCTTTTACTAAATCATCGGGGCTAGCCCCGAAATTATGACGACACAATGCCGACGTTTCTTACAACAACGTGTTGACATATTCACGCATTCCTTCTCGTTCGTTGGTTGCTTGAAGAGTTGATAGTTTCCTCGCCTTCGTTTTTGTCGCTTGTTTCGCTATTTGAATCAGTTAGAGACCTTTAGTCCATTTGCTTTCGATTTTCCACATTCCTTTTGAGCTCCTCACTTCTTTCCGGCTTCGCATTTCTTAGCCTTAGACCTCATAATGAATAAGGTTGATACACTACTTCGCACTCCGTTTTCGCAGCTGCAGCTGGAACAAAAATTAGAGGTACAACGTCTTGGGCCTTATCAACCAAAAAATTCTTCACTGGAACAATCCCATGACGGAGGAAAGCGTCGGCGTACATTCTGCGCAGAAACTTGGTATAAAAAACACGAATGGTTGTGTTACAGCGAGGACAAAAATGCACTTTTTTTGTTTTTATTGCTTACTTTTTGCTAACGCCCGTGACTCACGTTGGTGTAAATTTGGTTTTAGATATCTTAAACATCTTTCCGAGCGTGCCAGGGATCATCAATCTTCTATGGAGCATCTGGACAATGCAGTAAAATACCGAACATTCGGAAATGTTAATATTGCAACACAGTTGGATGAAGGACGCGCGGTTTCTATTCGTCGGCACAACCAAAACGTCGAGAAAAACCGCCATGTTCTCGGTCGATTGATAGATGTTTTGAAGTTCATTGGTTGTCACGAGCTGTTCCTCCGTGGGCACGATGAACGGGCTGGCTCTTCTAATAGAGGGGTATTTTTGGATATGGTGGAATACACCGCATCCCTAGATACAGTATTGAGAGATCATCTTGGTGCCGCAACTGTTTCGAAAGGGACATCTAAGGATATCCAAAATGATATGCTCGACTCAATGTATAAAATTTATTTACAACATTTGGCTCTGGAAATTGAGAATTGCCAGTTCCTTTCGATTCAGTCTGACGAGACAACTGACATCACGTGCGTTTCCCAACTGGCTGTGATTTTTCGGTTTGTGAAAGATGGTAAACCTACCGAGAGATTTCACAGCTTTGTACCAATCGTTGATCGCACGGCTTGCGGGATATCGGCTGTACTGAAAGAAGTGTTACAGCCTTACAACGCGAAGTCAAAATTGATAGCTCAAACTTATGACGGCGCGGCAGTCATGGGTGGGTCGAAACATGGTGTTCAAGTTTATATAAAAGAAGATTTTCCTCATGCGCATTTTTTACATTGTTATGCACACCAATTTAACCTCGTTATTAAAAATATGTGTCTTGATACCCCTCTCGTCCGTATATTTTTTGCAAATGTTTCGGGGTTTTCTTCATTTTTTTCCGTTTCGCCGAAGCGCTCTGACCTCCTTCGCCAGATATGTAGCCGCTTGTGCACCAACACGTTGGAACTTCCAATCACGCATGGTGCAGGGCGTGTCCGAAATTAGGTGAGCTCGTTGAGTGTTTCAATGGCATTCAGAACTCTCCGGTTTGGGACGAACGCTCTGTGAGGGAGGCGGCAGGTCTAAAGCGTCTGCTAGAAGATGGTGAGTTTTCATTTTTTCTCCACAATATTCTATCACATGGATTTAATATACGGCGCATTGCAGTCAAGGCTAATGGATGGAGCGTCCGTGCAGTCGTGTATTTCAGACTTCTGCGATGCTGTATCTCGTATCCGGGAAACAATAAAATACGACGACACATGGAGTGCTTCTTTACGCCGCGGGCAAACAACGCAGCGTTTGATTTTGTCTGCAAAGGAATTCTGGTGAATCAAATAGGCGATCGTCTGCGCACTGAACACCTTGCCGCTTTCTCTTTGATGAACCCCAAAAAATGTTCAAAATTTGCACGTCAATTTCCCATCCATTTGTCGGCTACTGTCTCCAATTTTACCCCATGATAAACGTGGGTAAATTGGAAAATGAATTGCGATGTATATACACCAATCAAACTTTTTTGAACATCACATCAACTTGCGCGCTCTATGGGTTCCTCATAGATAACACTCTAGTAACTATCTTTGCGGCGTATGCAAAATTTCTGGACATCATTTTGACGACGCCTATTTCTTCCGCCGACGCAGAGCGAACATTCAGCACGCTGAAGCGTATTAAAACGTATCTCAGAAACACAATGAAGCAAGATAGATTAAATTCCTTGGCTGTTTTATTCATTCGCATAGACGTTATTTCTGGGATGCATGACTTTAATCAGCGCGTTATTGAGCATTTTGCTTCCAAGAAACCGCGGCGTGTTGCATATATGTTCAAGCAGTAGAAGTCTAGCAGCATATATATCTATGAGTGAGCGACGCATGTCCTTATCTTTGCATTATATTTCCTTTCTTCATAGTAACGTTTTAAACCTTATTTTAGGTTTTGTCTGCTTTTCCGAAGTTTCTGTTAATATGTCATTGTATTTATCTGGGTAAATATTGCCTTTTCGTTTTGAAAGAGGTTTCAAAATAAACTATGTCTATATTTATTAATCCCTTGACTTGGACCGGTTTTAAAGACACTTTCTTATCGTTAAAAATTGTCGCTTTTGCCGATTGGTTGTTACCGATGGAATGGTTTTTATACTCATAAAATGATGGGAGAACTTACAGCGCTCATCCTGTCCTCGTAGATGGGGGTGACTTGGTCCCGCAGTAGCTTGCCCCGGTTGTCAAAATGACCACGCGCCGCCACTGAGTAGTACTATCATTGCTTGAAAGTTTTAAAAAAATTTGTTCAGAGCGAAGATTGGTACGTAAACTTTCTGCTTTAAGTCGCTTTTCATTTGCATTTAGTTCAGCGAGGTTCGGGTGATTGGTTTCAAAATGGCGTCTAAGATTATATTCTTTTGAAACTGAAACCACGCTTCGGCAAGCTAAACAAAGTGTTTTTGAGTTTACTGCTGTAAATAAGTATTTATTTGTCCATTCTGAGTTAAACACTCTGCCCTCAGTTTCTATCTTTCTTTTCTTGTTTTCAGTCATTGCAACACTGCGGCATGCTACACAACAAACTAACTGCTATCAAATAACCTGAAAGCGAAAATGCTCGGCAAACCACCAATTAATTGTTCATCACAATGGACTAATCGAGAGTCTTTGGTCAAACCCGCACGCACCGTAGATTTTCGTTTTACGTACATACACACAATTGTATCAGACACTCGCATCACAATACAAATACACAAACATATATTGCTAAAAACAAATTTCTCAAAACCATTTCGAGGGCCGCAATAAAAGGCTTCGCGGGCCGTATGTTGTGCAGGCCTGGGCTAAACTCTCTTCGACAACAAACATCAGACTAACAACGACGACATAGCATCCAAATGACCACTATAATTATATGGCGAATGCTAATTAGTAGTTGCTTTTAATGGATTTTATAAAAAGGTCTCTATTCATAACTTTACAACGTTAAATATTGTGACGAAACAAACTCACAGAAAGTTCTTGGCAACTACGGTTGCTACGAGAACCACTGTGAAGTGTGAATCCAACGGAATTTCAACGAAAAATTATTTCGCAGTTTCCAACCAGTTCCCACGCGGAAAGTAACCTTTGTTAAATAATATTTCTTACGAAGAAATGGATTCTAGTCGGAAAAAAATAAATTTAAAATGATTTAAAGTCTAATTCGATATAAATATGAGTCTGAAAAATGCCGACAACGTTTGACAATGATTTCATTTACACGTACAAGTCGAGTGTCTAGCACCACAGTATGATCAGCGGAACGAAACTTAAAAAAAAAAATGGGCCTTCAAAATCGACGAAAAATCAGATTTTGCCATATTTGGTGATAACTCAATGCTTCGAGGCGAAATTTGAAACTCCACATGCCGACGACGTTTGACAATAATTTCTTCTACATGTACAAGTCAAGTGTCTACCTCAGGCCTGGGAAAGTAGCGGCCCGCGGACGCATCCGGTCCGTGGCAATGTATCCTCCGGCCCGCGAGCAGAGTTCTAGATTCAGACATTTTTTTTAATTATATATAAAATACACTTTAACCGTGAACTTCATTATTGTAATGAAAATCAGTGTTTTAGTGCTTTGTTTTATAGACCATGGCACCATCTTGCTATCGCAGTCAACTATACTCTGTGGAAATTATCAGC